AGTGCTCGTGCAGCGCTCGTCTGGCGCTCGTCTAGTGCTCGTCTAGCGCTCGTCTCGTGCTCGTCTAGTGGCGCTTGTCTCGTGCTCGTCTAGCGCTCGTCTCGTGCTCGTCTAGTGGCGCTTGTCTCGTGCTCGTCTAGTGCTCGTCTAGTGCTCGTCCAGCGCTCGTCTAGTGCTCTGTCTAGTGCTCGTCGAGTGCTCGTCCGGCGCTCGTCAAGCGCTCGTCTAGTGATCGTCTAGCGCTCGTCTAGTGCTCGTCTAGTGCTCGTCTCGCGCTCGTCTAGTGGCGCTTGTCTCGTTAGTGCTCCGTCCAGCTAGTGCTCGTCGAGCGCTCGTCTAGTGGTCGTCTCGTGCTCGTCCAGCGCTCGTCTGGCGCCCTTCTATGCCCGGAAATTTTCCAGAAATGTCCGGGGGTGGGTCGTGCTCTCCCCATTCCGGCGCTCGTCCAGTGCTCGTCTAGCGCTTGTCTAGCGCTCGTCCAGCGCTCATCTCGTGCTTGTCTAGTGCGCTCGTCCGGTGCTCGTTTTGCGCTCTGTCTAGTGTCTAGCACTCGCCGAGTGCTCGTCCAGCTCGTCCAGTGCGTCGTCTAGCGCTCCGTCTGGCGCTTGTCTAGTGCTCGTCTAGCGCCCGTCTAGCGCTCGTCTTGTGCATTGTCTAGTGTCTAGTTCTCGTCGCGCTAGCGCTCGTCTAGCGCTCGTCTAGTGCTCGTCTAGTGCTCGTCCAGCGCTCGTCTAGTGCTCTGCTTAGTGCTTGTCTAGTGCTCGTCTAGTGCTCGTCCAGTGAACGTCTAGTGCTCGTGCAGCGTCAAGCGCTCGTCTGGTGCTCTGTCTAGTGCTCTTCTATGCCCGGACATTTTCCAGAAACTTCCGGGGGTGGCTCGCGCTCTCCCCATTCCGGCCCCGCGCTCGTCCAGTGCTTGTCTAGCGCTCGTCCAGCGCTCGTCTAGCGCTCTGTCTAGTGCTCGTCTAGTGCTCTGTCTAGCGCTCGTCCAGTGCCCGTCTAGTGCTCCGTCTAGTGCTTGTCTAGCGTTCGTCTAGCGTTCGTCTGGTGCTCGTCTAGTGCTTGTGTAGCGCTCGTCTGGCGCTCGTCTAGCGCTCGTCTAGTGCTCCATCTAGTGCTCGTCTAGTGCTCCGTCCAGCGCCCGTCTAGTGCTCTTCTATCCCCGGAAATTTTCCGGAAATTTCCGGGGGTTGTGCCCTCCCTAGAGCCTTCTGGCGCTCGTCCAGTGCTCGTTCAGTGCTCGTCCAGTGCTCCGTCGAGTGCTCCGTCTAGTGCTCGTCTAGAGCTTTGTCTAGCGCTCGTCTAGTGCTCGTCTGGCGCTCGTCCAGTGCTCGTCTAGCGCTCCGTCTGGTGCTCTGTCTAGTGCTCTTCTCTGCCCGGAAATTGTCCAGAAATTTCCGCAGGTGGCTCGTGCTCACCCCATTCCGGCGCTCGTCCCGTGCTCATCTAGCGCTTGTCTAGTGCTCGTCCACTGCTCGTCTGGTGCTCTGTCTAGTGCTCGTCCAGTGCTCTGTCTAGTGCTCGTCTAGTGCAAAAGCAGAAAAAGCAACCAAAACGGCGGTAAAACAGAAAAAGCAACCGCCTACCTACTTATGCCACCTGAGGCTGTGGCCGTCGGCTTGTTGGGCGTGTCGGGCGTGAAAGTCGCCACAGGCAGCCTCTAGGCCGAATGAGCCATCTTGCACCTACAGAGGTCGGTGCACCCGTTGCGCACCTGTGTCTTCACACGTGCCTCGCAAGCAGTGCTTTCAGCTCCTGGCAATGCTGAAAGTTTGGTATGGCACAAGTTCCACAAGTTTGCAAGCTTCATGATTGCTCCAAGTGCCGCACTGAGTGGTAACGAATGCCTCCCGTGCAGTTTCTCGAGTTGGCAAACGTTCGCATTCACAAAGTGGCCGGTAAGGCAGTTACAAAGCGGCCAGGATCACGAGGCCAAATTTCATGGGTCCTGAGAGCAGGTCTGAGTCAGCTAGCAGCTTGCCCCACAGACCCTCCTGTGAGATTTCAGGCTCCCATGGACGAAGCGGCGCTGCGCAGCCTTGGATTGATGAGCTTGGATGAGCTAAAAAATAGCAGAACAGAGAGTGCTTTAATATTAAAAAAAAGACCGCGAGCGCGGGACCGCTGAATTTCTTGTGGCTGCACTGCGTCGACCGCTTGGCCGCTTGGCCGCTTGGCCGCTTGGCCGCTTGGCCGCTTGAGCTGACGCAAGGTCCACGTAGATTCATGGGGCGTGAGATGCTCGCGGTTGAGCCCACACGCACGAAGCCCTGAATTTTTCTCATGGCGCGAAGCCCTGATCCATTGGTGAAACCTGCATTGGGGAGACTCTGCCCAACATGAGGCTGGCCCCCGAGGACAAGAGACAAATACTGAACATCTCAAAAGCTTAGGAACATGGCAAAGTGATAACTGTCACGTGCAACTGGGTCAGATGCTTTACTGACTGTGGCCTTGAATGGTGATGCCAAACGCAGGATTGATCCTGCCACATCCTGCCAAACGCAGGATTGATTGGCGGTGCCGGACCATGTGCGGCCAATTGTCTATGCCAACATCCCCACGTAGCGTTCACAAGATAACTCAGTCTAGAAGTAAGCGTTTGCCAGTTCTCCCACAAACACGCAGCCGCTGAGCAAAGGCACTTCCAAGCTCACCAAACGGTCTGAGCAGCTCATGTCATCACCTGGCTTCATTGGCAAGAAGAGTTGCGCTTGGTTGGTTCAGCTGACGGTTCCCTCCTCTTTGGCTTGAGCCCATGTGTTGACTCTGCGCCTCACATGCCTGTACCATCTTGTATTCTTTCCAAGGCTTCTAAGATTTGCAACTTCCTGACAAAAAGAGACAAAGTAAAATGAGAATGACGAAAGCAACTGGCTAATCATCCACCATTGAAGAGATACACAAATCTGACAATTAACATCAAGAACTGTATTTGTTTTATGCATACAGGCAAATGTAGCATTGGATCAGCAAATCTTCGATATGTGTGCACACACGATTTCTCAAATAAATGCATTCCCTATCATCAAGTTGTTTGAAGTTATTTTGATTGGTGTGAACCTCGTTTGTCGCTTGTGTGCTCTGGGAAATGCGCACGAAAAACCTTGGAATCAGGTGATGCTGGTGCTGTTTGTTTATTGATGTTGGCTGGGTAACTTCTCACCCTGGATTTCTACTAGGTAGCACGGGTTCTCTTGGGTCTGGTCAAGACTGGAAATTTGTACGGTTGCTGCCAAAGTCAATTTGTCCCCCAATGACGTTCGGTGAGTAACCCCCATCTCCTAGTGGTATTTAATGAATTTGCCCCACGTCATCCCCTTTACTAGGCAAATATACACCGCAGGCGTTCAGTCAGCTGGCATCCACATTCTAGGAGTCTATGAACCCCGGAACATATTCTTCATGAATTGACAAAATACCGAAGACATGCTGTGGCGAGAAGCAGCAAAGCACGGCCCAAACGTGGCATGCTTGCGCTGTGCCCGTCTTCTCTTCGTTGCACCACGGAGACCGAAGCAAACTTGTTTGGGTCGATCTGACAGGCTTGGGCATTCCGCTTGGCATCAGAATTGAGTGCATTGCACGAAGGAGCCTTCTTGCTCTTCGCTTTGTACTCCTTGTAATTGGATTGAGCGCGACCTCAATGCCACAATTTCCAGGAGCTGCCCCTGCAAATCGCTGAGGTGGTGACTTCTTTCAGCAGCTGCCTCAAATTCTTTGATGCGCTCCTCTGCTTCAAAATGCTCTCAAGATTTGCAGCCGTGCTATCCATGCTTGCGAGTGCGAGGCTGCACAGCGTGCAGGTCGCTTGATGCAAGACACAGCTCCTCATCTATGGAATCAAAGATGTCGAACTTGGAAATCACCTCTGCAAGCTCCGGATCATCTGGTGCTTGCTCGCCTCGAGGGCAACCTGCCACATCAGCACACAACACGCGCTCGCAAGCACACAGACCGCTGTAGATCTCCAAAGGAATTGCTGCTTCCCTGCCTGCAAATTGTAGAGTTGAGCCAGGCAAGCTGGCTGATGATACACAAGGCGGTTCTGCCTTCTCCTCGCCCTCGACCTGATTTCTTCTGCAGGAAACAATTGCAGCGAAAGCACATTGCAAGCCGTCTTCGTTCGCGTCCAGGTTGCAGGAGTCAACGTCAGTGTAGTTGGCGTACTCATGAACTTAGCACGGTCTTTGGGATTCCTCAGCGCAAACATTGGAATCTATGCCAACAAGCAAGAACGACTTTAGTCTGCCAGCTTAGGACTCTGCCTGTTTCGTTTCACAAACTGCTTGAGAGCCTTCAGTGCATTGAAATGTGCAGCAAGTTCTTGAGCTCTCATGAAGAAATAGCGCTTGAGGCCAACCTCCGCTGCTTCCTTCTCCGAGAGGATGGGAGCATTTTCTGGGATGGCTGGAATCATGGACCTTGCGAGCTTCATGTCACAAAGCTTCAAGCCAAGTTCCTGGTGAAGTTGTCAAACAGTTGCGCGGAATGCTGTTAGGCCAAGCTTCCTCTCTGCGGGTGAGGGCCTCTCGCTGGTTAACAAGCCATGCAGCAGGTCTATGACTCGTCTGGTGACTTAATTGCTGGTGAAACCTTTGCTGGTATCGGATACCACGATCTTTCGCATTGTGGATGTGAAGAAGACGCGATCAAGCAGTGACACCTTCGGCTATACTTGAGCTGTAAATGCAAATAAGCAGAATGTGCAAAGTCATTTGGGTCAGGCCACTGGTCCTATAGGTTGCAATCAAGCACGCTTTTTTCAAGCACCGAATGCCGACCTTTTTTGACGAGCCGGACTTCCGAACGCAAGGTTTCAGCGCGATCCTCTCGATCACGACACAAAAGTGTTCTAGCCACCCTGCGTCTGCAGGCAATCACTATACCTGCACAAACGCCATGCCAGTGTAAGTTACCCGGGCAAATGCTGGGGACAATTATTGGGGTCAAGACCAAGCGAACATGTTCCACTTTGTTGCCATCGATTTCGTGGCCTGTCAAGACTTCTTCATCTCGACGGCATTGACCCGAGCACCGAAGGTCAGCGAACACATTGACTCCTCGTGCCAAGGTCGCTCCCTCTGCAAGTCACAGATCCAGGCTCCGGCAAACCAAATCAGGCCATGAACATGCCGGGTACGGGTCCAAAAATCATCTCTAGAACAGCGTCAAAAGAGAGAAAATGATTGATCGAAACAATATCCGAGATGATGACTGGAAGCTAGCCGGATGCAAGTGGTACGCAGTCAAAGCGAACAATTTAGGTCATCCTATTTTCGGGCACAACGGAGCGGGGCCCGCGCAAGTCCTCAGACTTACAGCCGTCCAAAAAAATATCTTGGGCGATATGACAATGCAATAGTCCACTTGCTGATTGCCGTGCATCCAGATACACAGTTGAGTCGACCATATTGCTGCCGCCTGTCCTCGACGTGGCTCGCACAGGGGTTGATCTGCAACAGCATCAAAGTTTTTGAGTCCCCGCCCAGCGAGTCCTGCAGTGCAGATTGGCTGACTAGTTCTGAATGTCCACTCCACTAACTCGCTTGAGTTCATGCATGGAGCCATTTGCAAAGGGAGGTGTGGGCGAAGCGCAACCCATGCATGTTGTGGCTTGCCAGGTAAAAAGCAGGTGACACTAAAAGCAACGCGGTAGGGGCTTCTGGGTCTGAAATGGGTGTTTTGCTCTGGGTTTTTTGTTAGTGCCAAAAGCTTTCAAGGCACCAACATCTGGGAGTCGCAAGAGCCTGCATGCCTAGCGTATTCCTGGCTGGAGGCAACTGGATCTGCAAATGCAGAAGGTGCTGTGGGAAATTTGATAGGAGCAAACTATATGAGACTCATGGAGATCCCACAATTCAGCTCTTTCTGAGCAATGATTTGACATCCACAAAAGAGGCAAACAAACAGGATCCAGTCCAGATGTTGGGGATGGCAGGATGCCGGGGATGCTGGAGATACAGAGGATCCCTTGTTCTGTGAGCGGCTCGAACAAGCTGCTGAATATAGTGAGGGTCAGCGGCTGGCGAAGCTGAAGAAAACATGTGATGATATTATGATGATATAGTCACCTGCCAAAGCCATCTCCTGAAGAAAGTGCGTCAGGATGGAATTCCGGTAAGGCGTGTGCGCGTTCTTCTGTGCCTGTCTCATGGGGCGCAATGCCCTTTAGCCAAGACCAGAAGCCATGTCGGCCGCCAGTCTGTGCTCTGCAGGCCCGGCCCGGGCGGCAATCACATCGCCCAGCGCACTTAAAGACTTGTTGATGGCGATGGCCTACCCAGTCCGTTCGAACGTCCGGACGTTGTGCGTTCGCTCTCTGCCCGCCTCCTTGGCCCGGTCGCCAGAAACCCCCGACTTGGCCAGCCGCTCTGAGCCCGCAAGGTCTACCTCCCGAGAGAAACATCTGAGATTCAGGCTATGCATCTTGAGAGCGCATTCAAGGTCAACAAAAAGACGTCTAAGACCGTGCCAGCGTGATGGCAGAGGAGAACTGCTTGCCGTCCGGGTTTGTCATGGTGCCAAGAATTTGGACCTGGTCTCAAAGGCGGCAACAAGCCGATCCACTTGATCTCCCCGGAGCAATTTGCAGTCACTTGTCTTATGCACGCACTGCGCAATTGTGTACATTGGAAAGGCTCGGGGGCAGGCGGCCAAATGAGAGCGTGATGAGTGCAAATTCATGTCCGTGGCTGCCACCGTTCGGTTCCTAGGCTGATCCAAGCAGGCAAAATGCCGAAGGCAGGTTGCTCTCGTTTTATTGCCTAAGCTCCTGGCATCTGGGCCGTGTTGAGCAGCATCTCCACCTCTTCCACGTTGTGCACCGTCCTTAGGCAACAGACTTGTCCGGGCCACATCAGAGTGTCACTATCTGGGGGATTGGCTGCATTGTGAGGCCGGGCACGAAGTTTCCCTCCTTGCCCTGGCGGACCTTGTGACCAAACGAGTCACTCCGGCTCTGTCGCACCGAGTGCTGCCTGCAGCTTCTGCTTCTTGTCATTTGGCCCCAGCAAGAGATCTCGAATTTCCTCGTGCGTCATGCAATGATCTGTGCATGTGACACGTCCCCGCCTCGTTGTAAATTTCCACGCAAGCCTTCGGCCAGGTGCAAAGCAGTGGCGTTCGTTTACTCGACAAAAATGAGCGCCCCACACCCTTCAGTTCGATCTTCCAGCCAATCCTCTCCTTGGCCACCTGCCAGCAATGCCGCAAGGCTCCACCATGCAGGTCTGCCTTGGGAAATGAGCCTTGAAGAGCTCGCTGAAGGTTCGAGTGTAGACACCAGGATTCTCCCTGGGCCCAAGTGGCAGAGGCTATGCATACCCTGGGCTCAACGCTAAGAAAGAAGCCTGGAGTACGGCTCGCTCACCCATATGCACTCTAAACAAGTGTGAGAGCTAAGCTCATGTCTTTGATCCTTGCATAGAGAAGGTCTTTCCAGAACCCGTCTGGCCATAGGCAAACATGCACACATTGTAACCTTGCAGGCAGAGCCATCATCACGGTGAAATCCCATCAAGCAAGGCATCCTTGCATGCTTCAGTGGCATTTTCTTTAGGCTGCAACCATCGAGCATGGAGACAACCAAATCCCGAATTCCGCTGAAGAGGTCTTCCTGCCAGAGTCGATGATTGTGCGAGCTCGTGCCAGGACATGCGAAAACCTGCAAAAGTCTGCCCTGGAAAAACTCTCAAAATGCGAGTTGCCATGGCAGAGTCCTGTTGCGAGTTCTGTCTGTAGATCTCATTGAACTGCCAAGACCTTTGAAAGGAAGGCGAGCTTCACCAATTTATCCGCGAGAGCGTTGAGGTCGCAGCTTCTTAAGTCCCAGGTCCGGATTGCTGATTTGAATCTGGCTAGATGCACATTGGGGCGGTCGGGCACGCGTGCCATGCCTCATCGGGAGCTGGAAAAGCGATGCAGCAGCCCTGGGCTGCCCTGCGAAGTCGCGTCTGGCAGCTCATGGCTCAAGCACGGGCCCCGGCTGAGCTCCCGGCTCAGCATCCGTCATCGGCCGCACGCGGCAGTAGACTCGGATGTTCCCTGCACGCTGTTGACTCGGATGTTGCCTATTCCGGATGCCCAATGCCGACGTCTGCATTCCGGCCTTTCAGCTCTTGCACCAAATTATGCAGCCTTCGGCGCGCGGCTCGACTCGCACAAGGGCATCAGGCACAAGGGCGGCGTAGCCAGGCTTTGGCCAAGGGACTTTCGTCTGCGATCACATTCGATGCTGTATTTCTCTTTCCACTCCTGGAGCAGTTGCTCAACATGGTGGACGCTTTCAAGCCAATTGCTTCCCAAGCCATGTTCCTTCGAGTTGAATGGGCCATGCAAGGCTCACGGCCCAATGCTCCTGTGCACCTGCGTCCAACAGCTTCTTCAGCTCTGCAGCCTGAACGGAGATCAGGCTTCAAGCATACGGAGCCGACTGCCATGAAACTCGCATTGCAATGGCCTTGCTTTGCATCACTTCATGCAAGACCTGGGATTGGCCATCGAAGATCCGTGACCTTAAATGCTCTGTTGTTGATTTTCCAGCCTGTGGCAGCACCTGCTGGATTTCAGCGGCGACCTGGCAGTCACGTCTCGCAATGGGATTGAGCCAGGTCTGTTTCCAGAGCGCAACTTAACCGGCGAAAGGTGGCCAGCCACACCGTGGTGCGCAAATCGGAGACCTGTTTCTTTCCTGCTGCACACTTCAATCGAGGCATGCCAAATCATTTGCCGTGAGCTGGATGGAGCGTGTCATGCACGTTACGTACGAATGGTGGGCTCCACAACATATCTAGTCAGGACTTGACGAACGGCTAAATTTGGTGTGGCTGCGCACGCCAGAGGGAAGTTTGTTACTCGACCAGTGCCTAACTTAGCTTAACTAACGGCACAACACGGGATTGGTCATATTTTCTTGCTCTCATGGGTAGCCCCAAGAAGTGCCCCCGAGGACACACAGAAAGCTAAGGCATGTCATGCAAGCTATGCCTTGAGCCAGCGCCAGCTGGACTTTGCCCAGCACTTCTGGTAGCTGTTTGCTGGCCTGAGCCCAATTCTGCTAGTGTGCTACTCAACTTTTCCTCAGCAAAAATCCGTCCTTCGGAGAGCCTTGTGCGGATTGCAGCTTCGCCTGCAAGATGGATTGGACTCGACCAGCTGAAGCGAACATGTCCCAAAGACCGCCTCCAACTGCTGTTTCTCCGCGTCCAGCTTCTTGTAAGCCTCGGCGCTCAGTTTGCGCAGCCCTTGGCCCAGTTCACCTAACCGCTGCCGCTGGCAAGGCTCGCTCCCCGCTTTTTTGCTCGCAAGTTCCTCCTCCGCGCACGGGCGCGGAGCAGCGCGAAGCCTGGCACCGGCTCGACTCCCCCTCTCCATGCGCTCACGTCTCTTTCTCTCTCTCTCTCTCTCTCTCTCTCTCTCTCTCTCTCTCTCTCTCTCTCTCTCTCTCTCCGTCCTTGGTCACGCCGCAGCTTCTTTGGCAGGAACTCCGTCACGCCAATGTTTTGGCGCAGCGCTGCCAGCCAGAACTTTCCTCAGCTTCCAGTTCTATCCACACGTACCCCTGGACGAATTCTCCACGTGGTAGGATAGCAAGGAAACACACGCTACTTATCCTTTGAATCCGGTTCACATAAATAGATGCATAGCAGAAATGCGATCAGAGTCACGCTTCTTTTTGAGCTCCTCGAGACTCGATCAAGCAACTCACACATGTTCAACCAACTGGCATGGTTGCCGTATCACTTGCTGCGTGCTCGGCATCCTCGGACACAAACCTCAGAAGAGTAAGCACACTAGCAAAGTGAAGAACGGGCTGCAAGGCACACTTCTTAACAAACTGAAGGCAATGCGGCAAGAGGCTTTGTGGCAGCTGGATTGCTAGCAACGGCCGCCAGCGCTACTTGCAGGTCCATTTTCAACTCTTCTGGAGCCCACCTTACAGGACGGCTATGAGAAGAAGCATGCGTCCACTTGAAGGGGCTGAGTGCTGAATGAATATGGCGCGTCCATCGGAGCCAAGAGACTGCAGGACGGAGCCGCTGTTGCGCACAGCTTCGAGCATGACCTGTTCACCAAGCAACGCAAGCAACGTGGTGCGCCTCGCTCCCACGCTGCCTCTCGGCAGCATCTTAGCTTGCCATCTGCGTACACAACCGCAAAGCCTCAGATCAGAAGCAAGTGCAAAGCAAGAGCAAATCAAGAGCAAAGCAAGAGCAAAGCAAGCGCAGCAAAGCAAGCAAGTGCAAGCAATTGCAAGCAGGTGCAAGCTGTGTTCAGGTCTTGATCCAGCGAAACAACGTCACTGCTTCTGTGGCAGAAAATGTGGAGGCCGGGATGCCATTGTGCTTCACAGCTGTCAGAACGACTTCTGCGTCTGACTTCAACTTGCCTGCGCCCGCCCCAAAGGCCAACTGTTGATAAAGTCAAAGGAGATGCAAGAAGCTGGCCTGAGCTGTACTGCAGCATGGTACCCTCATGGCGAACAGCTGCCAGGACCACCTCCCGATCCTCCTGCATTTCCACACAGGCGTAGCCGAGCCTTGGGCAGCCCTACTTGGGAATACAAACATAAGTGACGGATTTTTGCTCATCCATGCTGACTTGCTTCCAACATTCGGTCATTCATCCAAGCTGCACGGCACTGTTACTCACTGCTGCCAGCACAATATCACCTTGAGCAGAAAATTCACAACGCATCGGATCGAACAAGGGCGGGACGATCGTGCTGCAGCTCTTGGGTGATTAGGTTCAGCAAGAAGCCGTCATTCTGGACAGCTGCTAATGCCACCTGAACTAGGATCAATCCATCCGCATGTGCGCAATCCGCATGACAGTGATCAGTGATGCGCGCAAGGATGCCTCTCTGTCCGACTTCACGGTTTCGGGAAGGCTCTTGAAGATCCTTGCACTCTGCTTCACAGCAGCCAGAGCGATGGTGCGGTCGGTCTTCAGCTGAAAAGGCACATGCTGAAAGGCAGTGAAATCTGATCTGACGGCTGCCAGCGCCACTTCTGGATCTTCTCTCCTCAGATTGTCTACACCTTCCACAGAGCTACAACCTACGTGCCACTGCCAAGCTTCAAACGCTCATCCTCGATGAACTTCAAGGCTTGACCACAGCTGCGAACAGCTGCCAGCACCACGTCTCGGTCTCTTCGGAAAACTGGTGCCACATACCTGCCAAAGTGCCCAAGTGCCAAAGTCAACGTTGGACTTGCCACATGTGGAGACTCGCCTGAGTGCAGCACCACTGCTGCTCACCGCAGCCAAGGCAATCTCCCGGTCCTTTCCATCAAAACCTAGCAAAAACCTGCAGCTCTCTACGTGGCTCAGCTCTCCTGTGCCAAGCAGTTGCCCACATACTGCACTGCTGACCCGTTTGTCCGCACAGCGCGCAGTGCCACCTTCAAGATGCTTCTATTTGCCTCTTCGAAGTTATTCAGTTCTATGAACCAAGGCCAGCACCTCACGATCCGCCCGCAGCCCGTCTGACGCGTGTCGCAAAGCAAAGCCATCGTTACCCACAGCGGCCAGGACCACGCCGCGGTCTGCCTTCCACCCCTCGACCCCCGTTCAAAAGCCCTTGCAGGCAGCAGGCAACAGCAGGCAACAGCAGGCAACAGGCAACAAGCTCTAGGCTCTCGAGGAAGTCTCGCCTTTAACGAGTCCTCCAGGTATCGAAGCACAAAGCCCCGGTCGCTGACAGAGGCCAAGGCGATCTCCCGGTCGCTGCGTAGCTCGGGGTGTGCGTGAATCACAGCAAAGCCGGTGTTCTTCACCTGAGAATTTGCTGAAAATGAACACGCGCTGCCACCCTTCTGTCTTGCATCTTCGATCTATGACGTCCTTCACACGTTTGGAGTTGATGCCAGAAGTCAACATCGCAAAGGCAAATTCTGGACGCTACACATCATGCATCAGTTTCTTCTGGGCTCGTTTTAACTTTCAGATGCAAATGGCAGCTCAAACTCCATGCCTCACAAACAACAGCAGAGACTAAAGCAATGATGCTACGACAGGTGGATGTCAGAGAGTCAAAGAACATCACACCTCAGGGTGTGGTCAAAGACACCTGCAAAGAGAAAAGGAAGGATGACATCCACGCATGACCCTCCACCTATCATGCAGCAGCTGGAATCAGGGTGGGCGGGTGGAAAAAACAGAATGACTACTGCCATGTGAGCCTGAGGGAAGACCTGCGGTGTGTCAAGCCGCATGTGGCCCTTTCCCAACCTACACACAGGGCCATCATGAGGTCTTCCCTCAGGCTCACATGGCAGTAGTCATTCTGTTTTTTCCACCCGCCCACCCTGATTCCAGCTGCTGCATGATAGGTGGAGGGTCATGCGTGGATGTCATCCTTCCTTTTCTCTTTGCAGGTGTCTTTGACCACACTGAGGTGTGATGTTCTTTGACTCTCTGACATCCACCTCCTGACCCATCTCCTTAGCAGGTGGTCCTCCCCTACTCTCCGCATCTCCCACTCAGTGACCAAAACAGCGCGAGCATGAACACGTGGTATTTCTGGCACTGCAGGTTGAAACCTATTCCATTTCAAAAAATGGTTAGTGTGTCTGCGTATCCATGCGCCTTGTGATGCAGGCCGCGTGAGGTAGTTTCTTTTCTCCGCATGCCGCCCTCGCGGGGCGCGTTGTGCAAACTGCAGTGATGCACGACGGTACTGGCAATGCTGCTGATGCTGCGCAAGTCGAGAAAAGGGAGAAATTGTCCTGGCTGCAGCAGCTGCTGGGAGGCTTCTGATGAGTGGACTGGTCACACTGGTGATATTGGCGATACTGTGTGATGTTGGTTGTGCTTGCACTGGTGCTACTGGTGATGCTAGTTACGCTGACGATGCCAATTTGGTGATGCCAATTTGGTGCTGATGATGCTTGTTCTGGTGATGCTAGTGGTGCTAGCCATGCGGGTGATGCTGGTGATTTTGCTGATGCTGATAATGCTCGTGATGCCGGTTATAGTGCTGGTGACGAGTGATGCTAATGATGTTGGTCATGCTAACAATGTGGGTGATGCTAACAATGTTGGTGATGCTGATCGTGTTGGTGATGCCAATAATGTTGGCGATGCTCAAATGTTGGCGATGCTCATAATGTTGGCGATGCTCATAATGTTGGTGATGCTTATGATGCTGATGATGCTAGTGATGGTGGTGATGTTGTGATTGTACTGCTGGCGATGCTAGTGATGCTGGTGATCCTAATGATGCTGGTGATGACTGTAATGTGATGCTAGGCTGCTGGACATGCTCTCAGTGTAGGGATGGTGATGCTACGACGTCTTCAACTATTCTCTCCCGCTCTCTCTCTCTCTCTCTCTCTCTCTCTCTATCTCTCTCTCTCTCTCCAGCTTGGTCCTTGTAGCTGTCTAACGACATGTAATAAAGGCGTAAGAAGATGTGTGCACTGTGCCATGCGTATATGTCCACAAACACATAAGCAACAAACAAAGCAGGGAAAAGCAACTGGAGTTGGATAGTCTGACAGACAAAACAAAGCCTTGCCAGAAGCGGCCCAAAAACAGCAGCCAAAACAATGTCACGGTCCCCTCGCAGTTCCTCCGGGAGCGTCTCCAGGCCTCAAGAGCCCCAATCTGAGCACGCAAAGCCCCAATCGTGCAAGCCAAGCCACAGAGTCCGTTGCAGCGCACTGCGTGCAATGCTTCTGCGCGAGCTGGATCAATTCGCAGCAGCACGAGCTCCAAAGACCTAACTGGTACGCAGGCCAAGGCAGAAAGCACAGGCACACGGACCCGCCTCTCGACTTCCATTGAGTTATCCGGCACCAGGCTTTCCAACAACTCCTCGTCCTCCAACTCACGGTCATCACAGACCACTTTCTGCTGGATGCAGGGGATGCCCGTCAAGGACTGGATCCCGGACTTCACTTCCTCGTGAGACCAACGCACCGGGTGTGAAGTGCGCATTAGGGAGCTGGCAAAGCGACGCACGTGCGAGCAGGGAATCGCTCCAGCTCAATTGGAAATAAAGCAACAGGCAGAACAGCATGCCACAAATCCTGATGCTTGAGCATTAGTCGGGTAGAATTTGGAAAGGCATGAACGCGTGGAAGTCCGAGGCTCGGCAATGCTGCAGCTGGTCGCGCGACTCAAACTGCAGACGAAGCCAGACAGGCCGTTAACGCGCAGATGCATGGCAAGTCATAGGCAGAAAAAATCAGAATCTGCGGGCTGCCCCCATATTTCAGGATAAAAAAGCTTCGGCTCAGCCACTTGCCTCAGTTTCGGATGCTGACTTTGACATCGGGTACCATAGCCCTCAAATGTTCTTGAGCCAAGCTGTCGTGATGCCAAAACACAGCTGTCTCAGCAAAGCTTGGCACACTGAGTGGCGTTCTGTTGCAAGCTGCTTCAGTTTCTTCACCTGCTCCTCACAGACTCGCGTGGCCCAACTTGACCTCGAACTTCGGGCCAAAAAAAGCGGCACCATCCCGGCACGTGGCCATTCCACCGAATGCTGACAGCTCCCAATAGTCCTTGGTCTTCTCCTCCGCTGCCTCGAGCTCCTGCACAGAATTGCTAAGCACACGTACAGTGCCTCCCAGACAGCCAAAGCAAAGAAAAACGAGCACCAAGGTCTTTTCGCCGCATGCGATGCAACTTGGCTCAAGACCGTCCACCCAGAGATCACTGGCAAGTGGATGGCTTGAGTTTAAGGACTCCCCTCGGCAGCGCATTGAGCGTATTGCCGGCTACGTTAAACCTCCACGACCATATGGTCGATGGCAAACCGAGCACTTTCACTTCATTCAATCATCACATGCATCAGGTGACCAATTCTGCTTCGGCCTGACACGGGGAATGCTGCACCAGCCTGAACTCATGCCTCATGCGGCCTCTCCGGCCTCTGAATCAATAACATCATTAACAACTCGAGCGAGGAAGTTGCGGAAAGGCATCGTAATCTCATCGGCATGCCTAAGGCCACAACATTTCGCTGTCAATCTCTGCACTGGAAAACCGTCACTGAAAATCCGTCCGAGTCACCACTGCGTGTGCACGTCTTCTGGAAACCAAAACTCTCTTGCTGGCTTTGAGGCCTCAAATCAAGATCACTTGCTTGGCCACCTATGCGCCACCGGCTAAATGATAAAATGAGGGGCATTGGCGGGGAAGAAGGCCATGTACGGGTGAAGAAAGTTGGACAGATGCGCTTTGAACGCATCGCTGGCACCAACTCGATCCATTGACAGAACCATCGGCCCATGGAAGGCCTCGCTGTATCCTGAGAGAATGTGAGTCGAATGCAAGTCGGACGGACAGAATGGTATGAAAAAGAACAAAAATCGAATGGCGAAGGTCGGAAATGCAGACCTGTTTGAACTCTCTAAGCCTAGCGCGGAAAGTCCAAGTTAGCCGCGGGCTCAAAGCGAATCGATGGTGGAAGTGGTTCAGCGGAACATCTTCCAAGTACCGACCAATCCACACCTGCAAGGTGAAACTCTCCACTGACTTGAGCCTTGGTCTGGAGGGCACACTACATGTTCACCGGGTACAACGCGAAGCATGGGAAATGGTGGCCCTTTCAACGAGTCGCACAGGCAGCATGAATCCAGTGCCAAACATGGCAAAGTCTAAAGGCACATCTCGAGGTGGTTGTTTTTTACTCTCAGCCTTCTCACTGCTGTTCTTCTCAAAGACGACCATGTCCCCTAGCATCTCGAACATTTGATAAGGCGCTGAGGCCTGACACGCTCGTGCCACATGCCAAGCAAGACTGGCAGTCTTCCCTTGTAGCAAGCAGAGGTGTTCAGCGATCGACAAGACGGGTGAACGTCCACCCAAGTAGCAAGGTATGCCAAAGGTTTGACAACACATGCCTCATTGACTCGATCGATGAGAAGCTGCGCCAGGCCAGCAACGCCGCTGGATCGGGCGGTCTCACGCTCGCAGAGCCAGGGTACTGTTTCAGAATGCACCTCGCATCGCAAAGGAAAGAGATCCAAATTGAGCGAAGCAACTGTCTTGAGATTTGAGCGAAAGCGACTCAGCAGCCCGCAGGCGAGGTCAGGAACTCGTCGACCCGGTCCAATCGGAAGAGCCTCTCCGGCCAGGCCACGCCGAAATTCTTCTCCTCCAAGAAGCGAAAGAGGCATCGCGCCGTGTATCCTTGCAATTCTCAAACCCTCAAAAGTCTTCAAAGCGCCGTGAAACTCTCGCAAGTTGCCAGGTTCTCAAACCACCAAGTCATGTTGAGCTCAGGTTCGAAAGCCATGAATAAACCCTCCAGCAGACTTTCTGAAGTCCAGGCTGTGAGCTATGGTGCCAGCTGCGAAGAAGCCAGGCACTCCTTGAACCTCGAACGTGTCAGAGATCTTAGGATATTTGCCGTTGTCCACCATCTCCTCACGTGCACAAACATGCTAACTATCATGCATCAAAGTTGGCCGAATCTTACCAGTCAAGTGTCAGGTCTAGTTGAAGAATCCAGCATGTTGGTGTCCATTGTCCAGCCAAAGCATCTCACGACATGATCAACTGGATAGCGCGTGTGCTTTGCCGCGTACTTCATGCGGAAGTCCGCCATTGCATCCATCAATTCGGCATTGCGTCGTAGAAGCCCAGACTTGACCATGACCCACGTGTAGGACCCATTGTACACCATTGGGTCAAGGGTTGAAGGATAGCTGTTCTTGGAGAAGAATGACTCTATCTTTGGGTCGAGCTGCTCGGCCATGTCAAGCTGCCTCAGCCAACTCAGCAATCCTACACCATCAGGGAACATTGAGAAGAGGTTAATAGAGACTTTTGTGAAAGGATGATCGAAACAAAGAAAGTGCTCGAATAATGCTGGTTATTTTTTCTGCGGTCATTGGTTGAGGGAGGCATTGCTGCAGCTTGCTTCGCAAGGAAGCCGAAAAGCGGTCACCAGCCCATGGCAAAAACAGTGAGACTTAAACAAGTCCTCTGTTTTTAAGCAAAGGACGGGAAACGAATCAAAGCAGCGCATCGCTCGGGGAAGTGAAACATCCGAGGGGCCAACCTTGGCCTTCCTCGCCAGGAGCCAAGCGCTCCAGCAATTCGCGCACCTGCGGCTCATGCTGAGACGCGATACCTCAGCCATCAGCATGGCTGGCATGGCTTCACAAATCACACCTGACTTGGAGCCCAGGTACGCCCCATGAGCAGCATGAATTCCAGGTTCTGCGTTGCTTCGAAAAAGCGCTCTCTACCTCAAAGGCCCAAAGCTGATTTGTTGACTCACACGCTCTCTTGATTCACTCTGAGAGTGTCTGAGACTCGGTCATGTGTCGTCTGCGCACAGATCGATGCTCGCCAGCCAAATGCACCTGCGGCTGCCCTTGCATGGGATCACCACCATTTTGTTGTCCAGCATGGCATCAAAGTCGAACACGTCCAAGCTTTTCAATAAGTAGGTGTCCAGAATGGTGGTTCGACCCGCCCTGATATCTCCAACCTTGCATGCAATCAGAAAGCTCACATATGCCACCATGGAAAGGTCGTTCACGGGATAGCATTGTTGACACGGTTGGTGCGTGAGGGCAAAACAAATGCTTAGTGCTGGGTACTAGTTGCCACCTGAACTTGATTTTCCAGACGGAAAGGCACGCATGACATGCGGCATGACACGCTCCAAAGTCGCAGCTGTTTGGTTGCGGCTCTGATCGAAGAGGTCGAAATGTGTCGCCGCGTTTTCTTGCTGTAGTAGCAGCATCAGAAGAAATTGCGGCAGCAGTGGCAGTAGCACGAGTAGTAGCAGAAGTAGTAGCAGCGGCAGCAGTAGCAGCGGCAGCAGTAGCAGTAAGTAGCAATAGTAACAGCAATAATGATGCTTTGGGGCACAAATCCAGGATTTGCGGCAGTGTATGCTTCGCACAGGTCGAACCTCCAACCTCACTCGCCCTGAGAAACCAACCGCTCTGCGTGCTCTAAGCCTGAAACACCAACGCCTTGCCTGCCAAAGCGTGGGGCCTGCGAAATCCAGCGCTCACTCTCCCTTCCACTCGCCCAATCCGCTCACATCCACTCGCCCTTTCACTCCCACGGCCCTTCGCTGGCCAAACGCACATCATTTTCGCTTGGGTGCGCCCGACTTGCAATCCAAAGCTTCGGACGTGCTCCAAGCTTTGATGAAAAAACGGCTCAAGCCTCGACGTTGCCAGGCAACGCAACTCCCCAAGCTTCGAACCTGGATATTGCAATCGCCGGGCGCCGGTCATCTCAAACGGCTGGCAAGGGTGGCGAAAGCCGTGCGCTAACACACTTTCTAATTGGAAGGGTGGACCACAAGGCCGAAAGCGCAATGTGACTCGTCTCCTTGGTGACCGCGAGAGCTGACTGGGCCGTCGCTTTGACCAGGCTGTCGCTTTGACTGGGCTATCGCAGCGTTGATCCATTGTCAGTAGTGATCAATGAGTAAGTGGTTGAGTAAGTCAGTGAGTCAGTGAGTCAGTGACTGAGTGAGTCATTGAGGTGGGGTGGGTGCAGCGGCACGGGAGCTTGGAAGCACTTCGCACTTGCCAGGTCCACCACCCGACGTGCAAAAGGCCCATCGCAGCACAAGGCAAATGAGCACTGCTCGAGCAAACAGCCCCCCCCAATTGACTGATGAAAAACATCACCGGTTACTTCTTGTGCAGTTGTCGCTTACCAAGTGTGGTGTACACAGGCGTATCTCCAAGAATCGGCTCATTGCCCAATTGCAGAAGCGAGGCGTAGTGCGTTTGGTAGGCAAGGCGTACTCCTGCTCCGCCTTCAGGCAACGGGCGTGGTCGTGCGAGGAGATGCACCTGGCACTTCGGGGACAAGGCTCTCGAGGCAAAAACGTGCCCGACTCTCGAGGCTCCAACGAGGCTCCAAACTCGCATCTGCAAAGAGATGAATGGGAAAGAAATATCAAGCTCGGGGTCCGTTTCACAAGCTTCAGAGGCCTCTGCTGTGTACTTCTGCAGCTCTTGTGCTGTTTCCAGCGCCTTGGCCACAACGAAACAGAGCAAACGGCTCGGGCAAAAGTGCAACGACCAATTGCTAAGGAAACAAATATCGGCTAGAATGGTTGTCTCCGCACAGCGGCTGCGTTTCCCATGCCCAGCACCATTACGGACTTGCCCTCGAAAGCTTCGCCAGTCTCGGGCATGTCCTCGTAACCTCAGCTCCCACTGCTCAGTGCCCCCGGAAAGACGAGTGTGCGAGAGTGCGTGTGGGCGGGCCAAATTGACGTCTGCCAAGCCCACCACTTTTGCAGAAGTGTCACTACCTCCACCCAACAAGTCCTGCCCAGCCACTTTCTGTCCACTGGACGCCATCCTAAGTGATTCACTTTGAAGAAAAACAAAGAAATGCGCGTGCGTTGCTCGCTTTGCTCGCTTTGCTCGCTTTGCTTCCTTTGCTCGTCCGAGGGTCTATGGCACGGGCGCCCTTTCTCGGAGCTGAAAGGCCATGTGCAGCGATCACTTCCCGGCAGCGGGCTCTCCCACCGCCCTCCAGCTTGACCACGAAGACCTCGAGTTCAAAACATCGGCATGGACATGGATCTCCCTCACTTGGCCCTTTCCAACTTCAAAGACCCCAAAGTTTTCAAAGGCCTGGCAACAGGCGCCACAAACCGCATCGGGCCAAAATGCGAGAAATGGTTTGCACATCAAGTGATATTGACGGGGCAACGCCTGGCTCGCATTGCCGCTGCCAGCTGGGACAGCTTGACGGCTGATTTTCCGAACCTTTCCAGGGTCTGTTCAAGCTTCAGCAAGCTCCAAAGCAAACTTCCAGTGCCTTCGCATTGTAGCGGATGTTTTCGTGCTGCTCTTCTGCAAACTCGCGCAAATACGCTGCTAGCACGTCAGCCTTTGGGAAAAGCTCCTTTGACCTCTGTGTCCTCAGACAGACATGAATTTCGTTCAAGATGCAAGGAACCCGACTGCGGGGTGATGTATCTGCGTTCTTCAGGCGCGCCCGAATCCCAAAGGAGCTTATCTGAGTGCAAACAAGTGGCACTGGACGAGTGCGATTGGCTCTTCGAACATCGATCAACGAATTCCAGTCATGCCGAAAGGCAAATTCTGCGGAACGCCCTTGTCGCACATTACGCTTGTTCAGCGAAATAAGCTGTCTGTGACGCGGGAATCTGTCAAAGAAACTGCCAGCATGTGCATTGCTTTCGAAGATGACATAATCTCTGCCTGCGATGGCCACATGACGTGGAAAGCACGAGGCATGTCAATTGTCCTGAGGCGTGGGAATCTCTTGGAATGGAGCCTGAATGGTGGAGGAAGTGGCCCAGCTGAATGCCGGCAGGGCCTGCCCCAATGATGCAGTAGCCTCATCTGCCACAAAACAAAGTGAGACAAAGAGAATCTGGCAAAATCCACTCTCCAGGTTGGTGACATGTTGCATGGCTTTGAGGCTGCCACCAATTGTCTTGTCAGCAATTGCCACTCCCAGAAGAGTTGATGCAAGGACCAGGAAAACGACTGCCATGCCCAACATCAATCTTCCCGGCTAGCAGCTTGCTTGCGCAGGTGTTCAGGGCTATGCTTTCAGGATTGCCGCTGTCATATCAGCGCATGATGCTGGGCTGCATGAATGGGCGTGCGTGTGTGTGTGTGTGTGTGCGCGTGCATGTGTGTGTGTGTGCTTGGGTGCGGGCAAAATTCTGGGCGCAATGAACCGAACATAGATGTGTCTTTGGGCTTTGGATGCTTGCCCACCATGTCGTGGATTTTCTCCGGTAAACGATTTGACAAACTCGCAGAAGACTACAAGTGCATCAACAGCATCAAGTTTCGCAAGAATCTGCAGGCTGTGAATCAGCATGTACCTCTTCAGACTACGCACCGGTCCCTGCCTTTTGGAGCGAAGCAACATCTTCTCCATTGGCATGCCTCAAGTGCAGGTCTAAGGTTTCATCCAGCAGATGCTCATTCATTATCTTAGCCCATGCGGTTTGCGCATGGGGAAGTTGCTCAGATCTCGCCTATTGATGAAATGTTATCTGTGACTGACTCACCTGGATATGACACTCGGAAGCTTTCGATCACAGGCTGAGGAATCCTCTACCTTCTGGGTGGCCGGGCCCGTTTGCTGCAACCTGCGCACGATTTGATGTCCACTCTGTGATTTTGCCGCAAGAAACACGGACAGTGCCAAAGAGCGAGCAACGCTTCTCGAGCCTGGACACTTGGAGCTAGACTCGTCCTCAATAGGGGTGAGCGCCAAATCATCAAAGCAAACAGGCTGCCCGACTCATTCTTCTGCTTCATCTGCTTCTCAAGAAGCTCGATGCGGTTCCTTGCCTCTTGTAGCTCCTGAAACTCCGTCAAGTTGAGGATATGTCTGCTGCCGAAAGGTCGCACACTCCTTGCCACCGCTGACAGGTTTGCCGGAGAGCTCAGCGGCCAATTGTGCCACATCCTGAACACCGCAATTCTCTCGTGACCCCGATTTGGCGCGCGCGTCCTTCTCCCAGCGCTCGTGCATCTGCACCAGCTCCGCATGATCCTCTGCAGCATCCTCTTCTGTGGGCCTCCAGCAAAAGTATCAAGGGTATAAGCTGACATAAACTGGTATAAGTCGGTATAAGCCTTTAAGCGGATTCCAACGGGTTTCTATGAGACCTGCTGGACCTTCACCACCTTCAGGCAGGCGGCATACTCATCAGGTTGTCCGGCAGGGAGAGGTTTGGAGCCTTGGACTGGAACCAGCCCACTTGGTCCTTGAGCCGTTGCGCCACCGACTGCACGTGCGCCAGCTTCTTGCGCGTCTTCTGGAGCTCGCCTCGGACATGTGGCATCTGGGAATGGTCCGAAAAAGTCATGTTCTGAGTTGAGTCTTTTTGTTGTTTCCGGCGTGGCTGTTTCCTTTTGTCTTCCTTAAGTCTTCCTTCTGCTTTTCCTTTTCCTCCCTTTCGGTCCAGCCGTCCGGCCTCGGACCAGGGCGCTCTGGGAGCGGTTGACCTGCTGAAAGCTCTGGAGCTTCTGCGCCGTGCGCGCCTCGTCCGTCCGGGATTTCTCCAACTCGCCCTGCAGCTCCTGCAGCCGCTGCTGCGCTGCTTCCTGCCGAAGACTGGGAAAACCGCAGCTTTTTTGTGCTCGGATTATGGCAAACATAAAGGCAAATCGGAAAGCTCAAGTGGACGGAGCTCGTGTCTTTGAGTTCTTAGGGCTTGGAGTCTTTGGGGTTGCTCTCACCCCGTCCAGCTGCTCCGCCAGCTGACCGCACTTCTCGTCCATCGCAGGGTGCAGCCCCGCGGCATCGTCAAAGCCCAAATCCAGCATCTGCTGCAGTCTCGAATTCATCGGCGGCCCAGGCCGGTCAGCCATGGTGGGGTCATAGACCTTCGGCTTCTGGAAAAGCTTCTCCGCCATCATGGACCCGAGCGACGGTGGGTTGCCCAGCCAGTCGGGAAAACTCAGGCCAAAGAAGCTGCAATGTGACAGCTTGCAGTCTGTGAGTTTCTGTGTGTGTGCATGTGTCTGTGCTTCTTTGTTCTTCATGGATCGACCGTCAATGTTACTCCTGGACCTCCATGCAGCTGTCAAAACATCCAAAGCGCAAGAACCCGCGCAAATGAATTGTGTGGACCGACGGCGGGCAAAACGACGCCATCTCATGCGTCACGCTCAGCCGGTTCTTTTGGCGGCAAAAAGCGTCGGCTTTTGGAAAAGCGTCTTCGCTTCCGCTTTTGCGGCAGCTTTGGCTTCTGCGGCTCGAACTCGCCCTTTCGGCCCGGACACCCCTCGACTCCCTCGACTCCCTCTCTGCTCCCGAGCCTCCAAGCGCTCCACAGAAATGTGCGGTGGCAGCTCCAGCGCGCGCGGCGGAGCACCACCGAACCAAGTGACCTGGCATCGGTTACGTGGGGCCGTTAGAATTGCAGCCCCTCCACTCCAATTCAAACAGACTCTTTCCATACCTCAAGTTAGTCCTGTTGACCTACGGATTCGTATGCTCCAATGGCCCGTGCCTGGAGAGGCATCTCTGCGGCAGGACGACTTTTTCGCGTCCAGCGCTCCAGACTCAGAACCTCCTGAAGGTTCATGCAGCGCAGTTGCAGGCCGCCCTGGGGTCAGCCCGAATCCCGAGCCTTCCCACTTCCCATGCTTCCCATTCCCTGAGATGACCTTCCTACCCCACGGACCACTGATGCAGAAATCAAAGCGGCACTGTGACCCAGAGCTTCTCGCCCAATCTGTCCCAACATGGCTGCTACTTTGCCTGCACTGGAAGCAGCTTTCTGGAGTTGACGGCTGGCCGTCGCTTTGCCCGCCACTCGAATCGCTCTGCATCCAGCTTGGTCGGAAAGCCGCGAACCTCAAGGGAAAGGCTCTCCGAAGGCAAGCTCAAGCCGAAGGAAAGCTTCCGGAGTGGCATGCAGCTGAGCAGCGACGCAGAGCACCTTCCACAGCCCTCCAGTTCTAGTGGCCTTGGCGCCCCCGCGGAGTTCGCCGTTGTGCTGCCGCAGCCGCCTGGATAGGTCCGTGGTGATGCCCGTATAGGTGCGATTCCGTGTGGAAGAGCGAAGCACGTAGCAGCAATAGCCTTCGGGCCGGTGCTCGCGAGCTATTTGCAAAGAGCCCTGCCTTTGGGCTCTGCCGATTCCTCCTGACGTGCATGCCCAGACCCCGATACGCTTCGTTTACAATGGTCGCGTCCTCCGAGCTAATGAGAGTCACATGGTCATCTGCCGCCAGTACTGCCGTCTTGCCTCCCAGGCACATAGCTCCGTAAGGCACGCCCCACAAAATCTGAGAAATCCAACCCGACATCCTTGGAAATTCAAGAGACAAATCGCCGCATCATTCGCGCCTCGCAGCGCTGCGGGCTTTTTTCGTGGGCCCATAGCTAGCACCCACAGGGCAAGTCGCCAGAGCATGCGTATCTGATTCCTTATGGCTTTCGGCGAGACTTTGTGTGTTCTATGCCGAGTGTGTGTGTGTGTCTCAAGTAAGGACCAGCCCCATATGATAGAAGGAAATGGGCTCAGAATTGATCAGGAACCTATCTCGAGTACATTGCCAAGAAGCCGCAGCGCTGAGGTTGGACAAGCTGCTCAGCAAGGCGCATGCAACTGCAAAATGACGAGACGGACTGACAGGAAGCAGCACCTGCTTTCCGCAGCTCAACTGAAGCTCACGCGGAGAAACTCACGTGTCGTCTTTGATAGCCTGAGATGACTTGGACGTGGCTCAATCAACTGAAGCCACTTCCTTGAGCAAAGCTGCTCGCTCGACGTCTGCCAAAGACACCAAGCCAAGCAACTTCTGCCTCAAACTCCATGGCAGCCAGTCAAAGCTCTTACAGCAGACCGAGTTCTGCACGGCATCTGCCCCGAAGTTGGGGATCCTTCCGTCTCCTGGAGCAAGTCTAACAGAGCTTGCAAGCTTGCAGGGCATTGGCACCTTCAAGCTTCAATAAACATCCACCTGTCTCGCCTCTCTGTGACTCGCGAATCAAAGAAGCAAGAAAGAGAAAAAGAGAGAGAGAGAGAGAGAGGGGAGAGAGAGAGAGAGAGAGAGTTACCTAGACTTCAACTGCTTTAGGGCGCAAATAAAAGAAATAGAGACAGGAAATGGACAAGATCCACCATAGCACATTATATTCCCCAAGCTACACAAGCAACAGGAAGAAGAGGTAGAAAGTAGGATAAAGACAAAGATAATGAAAAAGATGGGAGATAAATTCAATGGAAAGAATCTGGAAGGGATGGGAAAATAAAGCATAACATTAAATCCTAAGAAATGCATAAACAAAGGTAAGAAGAAAAGCAACAAATATCAAATTCCAATGACAAAGAGAGATCCTACTCAGTCTACACAAAATTACACAACACAAGGGTGTGAAATGGTGTGAACTATAACACAAATCGACAGTTCGTTCCTACTGCCAAAGGTATCCCAGCCCGCTCCACCACTGCCAAACGCGCACCAGGCCCAAGCTGCTTTAGCTGCTTGCGTGCTGCCTCCAGGGTCACAGACCTCAGGTGCCAGAGCAAAATCCATGCCGACACACGCTCAGCCAAACCTGAATTCAAGGACTCAATGCTTGGGCAAGCAGCGGAAGCTGCGCTTGACATCTGCGCAAGCGGAACTGGCCCTGTTTCACAGCTGGATGCTGAGCTGTGTACGATGCAACAACCTTTGGGACCTTGGCACACAGAAATGGAACCTTCGCCTTTCAGCCCGTCAAGACAAAGGCTCTTTTTTTGACTCACAATCACATGCGAGCGGGGTTCCAAATATGCGGTTACCGCACGACGGAGCATTGCTTTGTGGGAATCTTGGTGAGTCGTGGGAATCTTGATGAGTACCCCAATTTTTGCAGATGATTCATAGCCGGACATTCTGACCCAACCCGTCGTGGGCTCAAGGCGCAACCAGGCTGCAGTTCCTTGGCATGGTCCGCGAAATACGACAAGACTGGAGGTTGACAGCACAAACACACATGCACATTCACCTATGTACATGTATATACGTGTATGTATGTATATATATATATACACGTGTGTATATGTTAAAGCGGAACTAGCTGTGTAAACACCTGATGACCTAAATGTGTCAAACCTTTGATGTGACAGCGCGGCACTTGTGGTATCTGCGGGCGAGGGCTGGAGCTCTATCTGTAGATAGGCTCAAGCCCTTGATGTACAAAGGCCAGGGTCATGTACAAGATGGATGTACATTAACAGTATATATGTATATATAATGCCGCCTTTGCCGGGACCTACTTGAAGAAAGAATTCACGGGTATGTGCTGCGTTTGCTGCCTCATTTGGGGCTTTGGGGAAAGCAGCACAAGCGCGCATTTCCACGGACAAACTGGAAGCTTGAGGCCCGACTGACCACTCGGTTTCAGTCGGGTTCAGCCGGGGCCCAGATTCAAAACTCAAGCTTCCAGGCCAAGCTTTGCAGGCAATCTTGAATCCAGGCCCGACTGAAACTTCAGCTTGGTCCTAGCCTACTGAATTAATTCGAAATTATTTAGAGGAAATTGCAATTGAAACTCAATTCCGATAGATCTACAGGGAAATTAGGCTAGCCGAAACTTGCACTCCTAGTTGAGGGATCCTTGGCTCGAGCCCTTGGTCCGAAACCGTCAAACCCTTGACATAGTTTATACATTTTCCTGAAATTGTGTAAACAACATGACTTTGCTGGTGTTATTCAACATGACTTGTCACCCACACAAAATATGCAACAGCAGCACACTTCTTGCGCGTGTATATGCTCTCACCCCCTGTCTTTCCAACAGAGGATTGTGTACATTGTGAAGTGGAAAGGTAGGCCCTGGAAAGGGGGGTGAGCATATATATATATGTGTATATGCTCAGGTCCCCCCCCATGAACTACCTTTTGGGTGTTTTTTCAATGTCTCAAGGCCAATAATTCTACTTCTCTGAAGGGCAACTATTCTGCTTCTCTGAAGGGCAACTATTCTGCTTATCTGAAGGGCAATGTCTCAAGGTCAATGGTTATACTTATCTGAAGGGCAACCATTCTGTTTATCTGAAGGGCAACTATTCTGTTTATCTGAAGGGCAATGTCGCAAGGTCAATAATTCTACTTATCTGAAGGGCAATGTCTCAAGGTCAATACTTCTACTTATCTGAAGGGCAATGTCTCAAGGTCAACAATTCTACTTATCTGAAGGGCAACTGTTCTGCTTGTTTGAAGGGCAAGGGTTTATTCCATTTAGATATATACAGGTTGTGTGTGAGTGTCAGAGTAGCTTGCAGCCATCAAAGGGACAGTTTAAGCCGCCCCCTTTCCTTTTCTAGCTGTCATGGCATCCCTCGTGTCCGGGGAAGTCTCACCAAACGAGCTCAAGGAGCTGAAGCTGTAGACATGTATATGGTGTTGCTTCTAGATATATGTATACAGTCTGCTGCGTGATGAGAAGCAATATATATGGTCAGGTCTATACCCTGAAACATGTTTTGTTTTTTCTCGAGTTGTTTTAGTTTGTTTAAATCAGAAAACCAAAAAAACTCAAGGCTTTTTTGGTTTTGGCCCTAAAACCAAAAAAACTCGAGGAAAACCAAAAAAAAAAAAACAACTCTCTGGGGAGAATCTTGGGTTTGGCCATTTTTTTGTTTTTTTGGTTTTCTCGAGGTTTTTTTGTTGTTTTTTGGTTTTCCTCGAGTTTTTTTGGTTTTTTGCCAGAAAACCAAATACACCCAAGGCTTTTTTGGTTTTGGCCCTGAAACCAAAAAAAAACTCGAGAAAACCAAAAAACCAAAAAAAACAAAATTCTGAGGAGAATCTTGGGTTTGGCTCATTTTTTTGGTTTTTTTTGTTTTCTCGAGGCTTTTTTGTTTTTTTTGGTTTTCCTCGAGTTTTGTTGGTTTTTTGCCAGAAAACCAAAAAAACCTTGTTTTTTTGGTTTTCTAGGCTCACCCACCTGGAAAACCAAAAAAGCCTTGGGTTTTTTTGGTTTTCTGATAAAAAACCAAAAAAACTCGAGGAAAACCAAAAAAAAACAAAAAAACCTCGAGAAAACCAAAAAAAACAAAAAAAATAGCCAAACCCAAGATTCTCCCCAGAATTTTGTTTTTTTTGGTTTTTTGGTTTTCTAGAGGTTTTTTTTGTTTTTGTTGTTTTCCTCGATTTTTTTTGGTTTTAGGGCCAAAAGCAAAAAAGCCTTGAGTTTTTTTGGTTTTCTAGGCTCACCCACCTGGAAAACCAAAAAAGCCTTGGGTTTTTTTGGTTTTCTGATAAAAAACCAAAAAAACTCGAGGAAAACCAAAAAAAAACAAAAAAACCTCGAGAAAACCAAAAAAAACAAAAAAAATAGCCAAACCCAAGATTCTCCCCAGAATTTTGTTTTTTTTGGTTTTTTGGTTTTCTAGAGGTTTTTTTTGTTTTTGTTGTTTTCCTCGATTTTTTTTGGTTTTAGGGCCAAAAGCAAAAAAGCCTTGAGTTTTTTTGGTTTTCTAGGCTCACCCACCTGGAAAACCAAAAAAGCCTTGGGTTTTTTTGGTTTTCTGATAAAAAACCAAAAAAACTCGAGGAAAACCAAAAAAAACAAAAAAAACCTCGAGAAAACCAAAAAAAACAAAAAAAAATAGCCAAACCCAAGATTCTCCCCAGAATTTTGGTTTTTTTGGTTTTTGGGTTTTCTCGATGTGTTTCTTGTTTTTTTGGTTTTCCTCGAGTTTTTTGAGGTTTGTCTAAAAATATAAATTTCAAAGCATTGAAATTAGTAAAAAATGCTAAAAAAGGGAGGTGTTTTGCCACTCGTAATGGTAGGATCTGAAAAAAACGTAAAAAACACAGTGTTTTTTTTGCTATTTTTCATATTTTGAACTATGTCTGCAAGAAGGCATACCAAAACGGAATCCGTTTTGTGTATTTTGTTGTTTTTATTGGCGAGAAAGCTAAAAACTATGGAAAAAACAGTGTTTTTGCAGTCTTTTATGAAGAAAGAACAAAAGGTAGTTCATGGGGGGGGACCTGACCATATATATATATATAGTATGTATAGGTATTCAGGCATGTGCGTATGTTGCAAAGGCGACAATCGCAGATCAATGCAACATAAAGCAAGCCAGGGTCAATCTCCATCATTCCCCCAAGAAACAAGTTCAGGGCATGTGTGGGAGTACTCTCCTCCGGGACATGTGCGAGTATCCCTCGCATTCGCAGTGCTAATTCGAGTTTGAGCAGAACTGCAAGAAAATGCGATGACGATGTGTTGCTCAAATTCGATTTGCGTTGGTAGTTCAAATGAACCAAGTCTGAGGCAAGGGCAACCGCCCTGGACGGGATGGCGCGCTCCAAAGGCGAGCCTGCGACGGCTCTAAAAGTTGTCAGTCAAAGGCCTCCCCGCCTTTGCGCGGCACGGACCTCAAGGCTGCCTGGCAGAGTTGATTCATTGATGGCTTCGGCCTGGATACCGTTACTATCGGCCACTATTGGATGAGACTCAACCGCTCGGCTGTGATATTGCAATTTTCTGCTTGGGGTCTGGTCTGGGGACTCACGGATGCATCTTTGAACCTTCAAGTGTTGTGTCAGAAGCTAGGACACAGGGTAGGCCACGCTACTCGCCTGCTCAAGCATGTTCTCCACAGTCCGTATCCAAAACGCCCCATCGCCTGTGGATCTATGTCGCAAGGCAGTAATAGCCATGGACTGGCCAGCCTCTAGTTGCCTCTTGCAGCCAGTTGACTGCCAGCTGGGGCCCACCTCTGGATAGGAAGTCCTCCACGTAGACCGCCACACCTGAATCCAAACTTCGCTTGCCAAAACGCACAGAAACAAACTACGGTAAGTCTTAACCCGGCCTGTGGCAGCCACGGTGGGAAGCACCACACCATAGTCCTTGCCCCCTGCCAGCTCCAGCAAGAGCACCACGGAAGTCAGCGGCACACTGCAAATGGAGCCCAGGCACGCGGCCATGCCCACCACAGCGTAGGTCGCCGGTACTGAGAAGGCCGTCACCTGCGCGTCCACGCCGTCCATGCCGTTGCCGCCGAGAAGGAACGGCAGATTCAGAGCCCAGGGCCAGAAGTTGTCGCGCAGCACCCGACCTGCGAGGCCCCCCAGGCAGGCGCCCATGAAGAGCGCGGGGGCAAACAGCCCCCCAACCTGGCCAGAGGACTGACATATCGCGGTGAGAACCACCTTGGCGACCAGCAAAAGCGACAAATGGAGAATCGGATCACTGGAAGGCGTGGTCGGCGCTCGTTTTGATCCATCCACCTCCTCCAGTATTAGATTCACATTGTCAAAGCCCTTGTAGAGCACTTCCTCTACGTTGCCACCCACGGTAACAGCCACCACTATGAGGCCTGCAATGATCGGGAAGGCCAACCGCGGGCAGCCAGCCTGTTCCAACGAGGCAAAGGCCTTGGTGGCCAGCGTGCGGCAAAACCCCAGGGCGCTGGCAACCATGCCGCAGGTCGCGCCCAGGAGCATAAAGACCGGGAGCTCCCACAAGGAGCGTGCTGGCACCCAGCCCAGGAAGTCCAGGTCGACGGCCGGGCTTGAGCCAAGGCCCAGCTGCGACACGGTGGCCGCCAGCACGGCTGCCAGGAGCTGCATGGCCGGACCCCTGGCTCGGGCCTCCTCTGGGCTCAATGAGGACTGGACAGACTGGACGGACTCCAGGGCGAAGAAAAGGCCTGCGATGGGCGCGTTGAACCCGGCCGCCACGCCGCTGGCGCAGCCCGCCGCCAGCAGATTCACGCGCAGCGCCCGGTCCACTTCGCTCTCTGCGCTTTCGTCTCTTTCGTCGCTTTGGTCTCTCGGGCGCCCAGCCAGGCCGGCGGCCACGTTGGCACCGATCTCCACGGACGGCCCCTCCGGGCCCAGCGAGTTGCCCCCGGCCAGCGTGAGGCCCGCGGCCAAGGCCCGCAGCGGCGCCTCCGTGCGGTCGCGGCACGGCACGCCGCCGCTGGCCTTCAGCGAGGCCAGGTCCGAGCCCCCCGAGGCGCGCCCTCGGCCTCGGCCCGCCAGCAGCAGACTCACCAGCAGTCCAGACACAGCTGGAGCAAGGAATCCAAACGGCAACTCGAGAAAGTCTCGGAAGGAGTGGACAAAATCATTCAACAACACAACCAGCGCGCCCGTGCTCAAGCCGGTCAAAGACGCCAGCAACAGAGGCGAAGCCTCAAGGCCTTGGCCGGCTTGGCCGGCCTGGCCGCCTCGGCCTCGGCCTGCCTCCAGCCATGTTCTTGATGCAGACCTGGTTTGTGAAGCTTGGATGATGCGTCGAACCTCCTGTGAGCAACCTGAGGTGTTGGTACGCCGAGTTGGCCTCCATGCATCACAGAAGGCTGCAGCATACCTCTCTTTGAGAGCTGCTCCTGTCACAAGGGCCTTGGTGCAACCCAAAGGCAAGAGTCAGACATAACATCCGCCACTGTCAAAGATGTTTTTGGCATCATTTGATGATTCAATGCGCTCCACTCTTTGACCATGTTCCGAGGCAGAAGCAGACAGGCCGGCGCAAGCCCGCCGCTGTCTTCGCTGCGAGGGCATGATCAAAGGGCAAGCCCCTACCCGAAACAAATGCAAGGTTGTCAACGAGTTGTCAACTACGTGGCACTTCCATTCCCCCCCCCTCCTACAAGAACGTCCTATCAGTGTTGAACAGGCATAGGCATCGCTTCTCGGCGAACGTGGCACTGTGCAGTCTCTGTATGTTTCTTTTTTGTGTGTGTGTGTGTCCTGTGACGCAAGGATCGTGTGCTAGCTGAGCCGAAAAGGCTCCGGCAAATCAAATGCTGTGAAGGGCGCTCAGACATGGACATCTTTTCCGATTTCTTTGGGACCGCCCGAAGCCTTTCACAATACTTCGCTGCAGCTCCCATGGCTCTCCATGGCCGGCTTGCCTTGAAACCTAGGCATGAAACGCAAACAGCAACGGATTGGAACGAATTGGAACAAATGCTGCACTGCCCAGGGAGAAAACCCTCACACTCAAAGCGGCAGCTCGAAAACGTCTCATGACGTCTGCCAGGCTGCGGTTCTCAGCGAGGCCATCTTAATGCAGCCGCTGACGCTTGATGTCTCCTCCCTGCACCAAGTCACTACCCAACCCTGGCAGCTGACTCCAAAGCCTCGCCTCGACGCCTCCACCAGGCCTGAAGGTGCTGATAGCTCGATGTCAATGTGCGACACAATGCATACACAAACACCCAAGAAGCATCGTGAGACTCAGACCCCACAGGCATGCCGATCTCCCACTCTCCATGGGCCCAGGTGCATTGTCCATCTGCCTGCAATGAATCCAGCTATGCGTTGCTATAACCGTTGAACACAATGGGAAGTCTCCCATCAAACTCCCGCTTTGCATACAGACTTCCCAGCGAATTCCTGCATGCTCACATGTTGGCAACATCTGGAGGAAGACCTGTCTATGCGCGGCAAGCTCTGTTGACCACGGAGCAGCACAAACAGAGAGAAGGCCCCATAATGCAAGAGCCGGGCATGCGCAAGAGAGCTTTCGGGAAGCTCTGCCTGAGAGCAGGCTCCCCGCTGCCAGAACTTGCAAATCGTCCGCTTCACCTGCACAGTGGACTTGTGACGTTGCGCTTTAAGACAATTGTCACTCGTACAGCAGGCCTCCACTCCTTTGCTCTCTGGGACTGAAATCAGTTGACCTTCCAATGGAAGCACGCACATAAAGACACAACCCAAGCAGGCGCCTATCGCAGGCATGATGGGAGCCTGGTCCTGTCAGTGCAAGAATTGGCATGGCGCCGTGTGAAGTAAACGGTCTTCGGGTCTCGGAGTCTGGCAGATGTTCACTTGAAGGAAATGAGTCCCGCCCCATGCTGTCTATAGCAATGCAAAAGGCACCAGCCCTTTTTTTACAGCACTCTGGCAGTCCGCAGCTTTGCTAAGCACAAAGATCTGGCCAGACACCCACCTGCCGCGCTCAGAACGGAGATCGCAGTCGAGATGCCGCGATACCTGTGACGCGCACCCAAAACGGGATGCCGCGATGCTCGCAAAGTCGCAAATCGGGATTGCTCCGTTTTGCCAGGCCTGGAAACCGACATCTGCGGCCAACGTCGCCACATACGAGGAACTGTGTGCAATGCGCCCGGAAGCCTACAGGACACATCTATATAAAGGATTGCTGCACGAGGCATCAAATGAAATGTCCAAATAGAGGCATGACGATAAAGGAGGGGACGGCTTGTGGTGCTAAATCACATGTCGATGTTGAATGTCAAACTTCTGTCAAAGTATTCACTAGAAAGGAAAAAGGACGTCCATATTTTCATAATTTGATGGCATGCAGCAACTAGCAACTTGGATGCCCACAACACACGCACACGCACACACGTCACAACTTTGGTCTGCGCAGCCTGCAATGTGTATCCAGCGGGATTCGCCGACTTCTCCACAGAGAACGCAAACAGTCCCTGCGGAGTCAGTCGTTGGTGGGCAAGACGAAAGACCTGCTCAAGGCAGCCCACCTTGGCTCCGCAAACTCAACTTGGGCACCACGGGTAAGTCAGTCAAGCCACATACACAAAAACATCTGCAGCTGCAATGAGGTCGTACAGGTTGTCTGCCTGCAGCAAGCTGCATGAGTGTGTATGTGTGTGTGTGTGTTTGGGGGTCTGCCGATCAATGGGAAACTGTTTGCATCTTGATGAAACCCCTGTGCTCACATGGGTGTTGGCACTTTCCAAACAGCGTCACTGGACTCTTGTGAGTTCCTTGAGATCGTCTCAGAAGCTTTAAATGCTGAAAAACTGGTTGATCCTTGGACACCAATGCCTGAATTCCGTGATCCGTGCCTGAGTCAGGTAGTCACACATATCAGAGTGGTGCAGGTGGTTGTAGCATCCTTTGTGCATCGCCTGCGCAGAGCAAGCTCAGCAATAGGGAAACATTGAACCCCACCTGCTGAAGCATGGCCGCAGACAGGTCCACGCCCTCAAGAATTGCCCGTGGAGCGGCATCTCGCAGCTGCTCGCCGAGAAGACCCGTGCCTGCCAAACACAAGCTCGTGCTGAAGCCAGTTCACGGTATGTGCCACAGCCCCCTGCGTGTGTTGGAGGCTGTGTAGGGCCAATTCCAAAACAACAACAATGGATACTTGCATCTCCCTTCTACTAGGTGTGATGTCCCTCCGCAATGCAAATCACCCAGCAAAGGTGGAGCCAAGCAATAACAGCAACTCGAGTCGTTTGGTCTGTCGGTTGGGCTGTGGTGCAAGCTGTTTCTGCATCTCGCACGTCAAGTCTTTTCCCGGCCAAGCCACCGGCTCCAAGATCCAAAGCCCTTTGCATCGGCTCGACACCAAGCTCCCACCAGCTCCATCCAAGAGCCTGGCTTTGGCGTGAGCTATCTCAAAGGTTCTGCGGTCCTCCGGTCCGCCATGCGACTCATGCGACTCATGCGACTCCAGCCTGCATCAGAACCTGCGGCACCCGGTAGTTCAAGCTGTCCAGACTTGCATCGAAGGTTTTGGAGAAGCGGTCGAATAAGCAAGAGACGTAGCCTCTTGAGATCGACTTGGGAGTAGACCGAGTCACCACGCTCAGCAAGTGTTTGGCCAGCTCTATGCGTAAGTGCCGTTCATCAGCCCCCCTGCCGCGAAGATCTTCCGCTATCTCCTTGGCTGCACGCGAGTGCGAAAACCCGATCGATCCCTGTGCCAAAAAAAATCGAGCCTCGCGATCCAAGCGCGTCTGAGCTTCGAGATGTCTCTTCAAGGCGACAGCCGCCTCGTCCCTCCGCATCTGCGCCCGCTGCAGCGCCTCTGCCAGGCGAAGAAAGGCCGTCGGGTGCCGGGGCTTCTTTGCCGTCAGCCGTCGCAGCACTCGGACCTTCTCCTGTGGTATCGCTTTGCCAGCTGAAAATCTGGTTTGTGCTTCTAAAGCAAGTAGTTTTGGGACGTATCCTTTAAGGAATGCTGGATGAATGATGGCAGACTGGTTTTCTCTGTGATCTCTGCTCTGGGTGCTATCTCGGTGCTATCTCGGTGCTATCTGCGCATACCCCGGCCTTTGACACCCAGCGTGGCGCCAAGCACACAGCCCGCGGCATGGCTCAGAGATCCGCCAACTCATGGCTCCCAAGGGGCCGAACGAGTCAAAGCATGGATTCCGACCCATAACTTCACCTGAGCCAACTACGCAGAACGGCGCGATGGACAAATCATTCCGGCATCGCCCCTCACAACCGGGCGTCTGCACCACTTGCTATGCACCACTCCCAACACTCTCACACGCCAAAGTCCTCCTCGCCATGCGCCCACGTGCAGCTGTCACCACGCGTGCACTGTCCCTGCGGCCAAGCTCCACACACACATCACACAAACATTTAAAGCTGATGGCTTGCCATTTTCTCAGGCTTCATCTTTGCAAGTGAACTCAAAGCCAATTGCCTCATGCTGTCACTGTACCCGAAAAGCGTCTCATAACACACTTCACTCTGCCAAGAAATTACCCGCGCCAGCTTTGTTTGTGACACAGTCACTCCACAGCCAGCTGCACCACAAGTGGACTCAAATATAGATCTCCGTTTGCAAGAGGTTTGCCCGATTTTTGCATCAAATTGCCTTGCACTGTGCAATTCCAGGTCACAAGCCTCGACTTAAAGCATGGCCCCATCTCACACTTACTGATTGCCAACCCCATTCAAATGAAACCATTTGCCCCCTGACAGATTAGAGTCTTCAGCCAAGGTCTCATACTCAGGCTGTGTTCATTGCTTCCACGCTGTGCCTCCAGCCAAAACTTGCAAATGGTCTTTTTCAGGGGTTGCTCTGCAGCTCCCTTTTCACCTTTCCAGCCTTGGCTATTTCCAAGTACGCGTCTTTCCATTCAACGCTCTTGCAGGTTGACTTTCTCTCAGGTCCCACACCAAGATTAGAAATGATTGCACGTGTGATCTTCCACAGGTTTGCCTTCCTCACCGATGTCGACTTAAAACACGGGATATGGCCACTGCGCTCACAGCTCTGTCAATTGATGCTTCATCCTTTGCATTCATCGCAAAACGCTAAGCTGAGACAAGAGCTCGCGAAAGCCGGTCCCTTTCCTTTTCCCAGCACCTCGGGTGAGAGCAAACGCAAACTCGTGAACTACGCAGGTTGCCCAGCCCAGTGCAAGTGCAAATGGCAACTCCAAGGCCCACCTCGAAAGGATTGGTCTTGAAGACTTTGCCCAGACCGAATTGAGCAAAAGAATGGGTGACACCTGAAGTGCTGATTTCAACGGCACCATGGCTTCACGTGAGTGATGCTTTGAGGCGTTAGGATCCAAGAGCATCCAAGCTCCGAGCCTTTGCCGGGACTTGACGGCGCCTGAGGCGAGCAAGCTGCACGGTCTGCGCTCGAAGGTCGCTTCCCAAGCCTTGCCCCCGAGAGCCGCGAGCGCAAGTGAAGTGGCTGGAGCAAAGCGCAAGTGAGTGCCTCTCACGCCGGGGTTCCCAAGTTCCTCGAACGTATCTCGGGCCTCCAGGAAGCGGAGCCTGAGTTCCCACCGAGGCCTTTTTCCCCAACACAACTCTTGAGAATCAGACGCCCAGCTCTTGGTCACCATGTGCCCAAGTGCATTGTGATCCTCTTGAGCATACGCCCTGCCACCAAGGAAATCCATATATATATATATATGTATATGTGTGTGTTAAAGTTGGGTTGACAGTGTAAACACCTGATGACCTGTGTGACAGCACGGCACTTGTTGTACTCGGGCGCAAGCAGTGTCTCTAATGTATACAGGCTCAAGGCCTTGATCATGTAAAGGTGCAAGGGAATGTACAAGGGTGGATCTATCTTAACACCCCACCTTGGATTGATGTATCTCTACAGCAAGCCAAACAGTTGTGTTCTAGCTGTTCGAGGTGATGTCAAAGTTGTTATCAGCTCTACTGCCTGTTTCGCTTTGCACATCGATGCCTCTAGTGTATCGAACGTCTGTACAAACTGCATGTGTAGCCTGATGTCTGCCAGGTGTGTCTGCAACACCATGTATCCACAAAATCCGGTGTGCCAAAAATGGCAATCACTGTGTGAGCAGTGTGGATCCCTGCTTCACCCCTGTGAGGTACTCGTTGTAGATCTTTGCCTTGGTTGCAGCATAGTTCATGTAGAACAGGTGCTGCTGTTCGAGGATGTAGGCAATGTGATCCGGATGGCCTGGTACCGCTTGTCCATCAATTGTGCCGCGAGTGTTGAGGCTGTGCGCATCCTGCATCGAAATGTGCTTCACAAGTGTCACCTGATGTGCAGGTGGCAAATGTTTGACGCTGGCCACGCCCATCAAGGACAATGCCTGTGCTGCTGTAGCGTGCCTGCGACTTGTGCCCTCATCTGTGGCAAGTTGTTCAAGATTCACACAAGCGTTGTAAGACCACATGTACCCTGTGCTCCAGTTGTACTTCATGTAGATCCCGAGCAATCCATTGTTGCCCGTGTGCTTGAAGACCTGATGTTTCAACAGCTCATCCTGTGTCTGAACCCATGTCTTGTTCATGTGGATCTGCATGTGGACTGCGCTGTAGCCACGATTGAAAAAGTTGATGTAACCACGGGATGCCCATTCAGCGATGCGCCTTGCATCCAACTGCACTGTAGCCACGATGAATGTGTCCAAGTGCTGTGTGCGGCATGTCCCTACAGAGATGTAGTTCAACAGTGTTGCAACCGCCTCAAACGAGGAGCTGTTCAACACAATGTAGTCAACCTCTGGGCTTCTGGCCCAGCCGTGAATGTGTCTCAGCTCTCCATTTGTGGTCCATGCTATAAACTCCTCTAATTTCATGGCGATGTACATCATGTTGGATTTGTGTTGGATGGTGTCCATGTGGATTCCATCCAATGTGCGCAGGGGCTGTTTGCCGGTGATGTTCTCCTCGATGTAGCCCAAGGATGTGAGACTCACCGCGCCCCATGTCCTTGCCACTGTGATCTCTGTGGCCGGGCACCTTCAATGTACAGGGAAGGTTCTCACCAAGTGTAAAATGGCTGCGACAGACATCAAAGACACTGTCTGAAACATGTATGGAACCTCATGCAGTAAAAAATGTACCTGAGGATGTAAAAGAGGTGGTCAAAGTCGTAAAGACAAAGATGAACCCAAAGTTGTGTATCTAAACCAGAAAGGTTGTACTGTCTCCAGGGCAGGTCCATGGCTGCACCTAACCTAAAGCTAAAACATGTGCGCCGGCTGTTTAGTTGTGAAACATACACGTGTGTCAACTGCGCAACTGTTGCTTAACATACTGTGCAACTGTGTGAAACTGGTGTTGTGTGACCTTACAGGCCAACGTTGCACAGGCGCTTGTTGAGAGTGTCGCAGCTGACAAACTTTGTCAGCAGGTCTGCTGGGTTGTCTTCAGACCTTGCTTTGTGACTTGAAATGACTTTGCTTTTGACAAGTTGTTGTGTGAAGAGGTGTCGTAGCTCGATGTGTTTTGCTTTCTTTGATGTACCTTCTCTCATTGCTATTGATTTTGCTGCACTGCTGTCCTGATGTTGATGCGTGCTTCAAATGCTTCCTTTATGAAGTTGCTGATGTAGAGGCTTTCCTGTGCTGCTGTACCGATTGCGTACAGTTCTGATTTTGCTGATGAAAGTGCTATTGTGGCTTGTGTTCTGCTGCCACAATGTACTGCTGCTCCAAAGAAGTACAGTACAAATCCTGTTGTGCTCTTTCTCGTTGTTTCACATGATGCCCAATTGGCATCTGTGTATGTGTCAATGTTGAGTGGTATTCGCTTGTCCTGTGTTTGTATCTTTGGTCGCAAGTTGCGTCGCATGTACCTTGTGCCCTTGAGGTACCTGGTCATGTGCTTGAGCTTCTTGTTGTCAAACTGTGTTGGTGCTTGTAATGACCTTGCTAGCTCTTTTGCTCCATAGCTGATGTCTGGTCGTGTGTGTGCTAGCCATTGTATCTTGCCAACAAGCCGCCTGTATCGTTTGCGCTGTTCGTGGTCAAGCGGCGCTTCGTCTTCTGCTGTACCTTTCATGTGTGACACCCCTGGTGATAGTGCTGGGTTGCATGTAGTCATCCCTGACTCTTCCAGGATGATGTCAACATAGTTGTTTTTCAAACTGGTGTCGATGTGATCACCTCTGTGTGAGATGTTCCTGCCAAGAAAGTGGATTGTTGATCCAACTGTTAGGTCGCCGGTGTGTCTAAGCAGAACTTCCTTTTGCATTCTGCTGAACAGTGTGTTGATGATGCTTTGTACTCCTATGAAAAGGACGTCGTCTACATAGATCATACTGTAGACCATGCAATCCTTTGACCTGTAGACATTGCTTTCTGTTGTGCATCTCACAAATTCGAGTGTGACTGTGAGAACGTGCGCTATGTGGTCTTGCCATTGTTTTGGTGATGATCTTAGACCATAGATTGCTTTGTTTAGCCGCCACATTATGTGTCTGTTCTCTTCATTGTAGAACTCGTGCGGTGGTCTCATTACCAGATTGTGTGTGATGGCTGCTGCATGTAGACATGCACCTGTACAGACCGACCAGTTGTACACCAGTGCCATTGTGAGAAGCACTCTCAAAATGCAAAACAATGGTGTACTTGCGAAGAGTAGGTCATGGTCTGTAACGGGTTCTGTGTAGCCTTTTGCTACTATGCGTGCTCGTACTTCATTGTGTTTTGGTTTTAGAACCCATCTTGATTCAATGATGTTCGCTTGTTGTTCTGGTGTCATTGTGTTGCCATCAATCTCTGTGAAGACTGATTGTTCTTTCATTTGTTGTACTTCCTTCTTCATGCCTTGTGCTACCAGTTGTGGATCCAGGTCTTCTGTGTCATGTGTGATCGGCTCTAGTAGGATCCTTTCATTTTCGATTTCTTGTATGTCTTCGTTGGAGGTTGTCTCCATTTGTCTACCATCCTTTGTTGTGAACTTGATGACATTGATTCGCATCTTGCTTTTTGGTTGTTCTGCTGTTGTAGGTTTCTCAAGGGTTTGTCTCTCTTCTGTGGTGCGTTGTTGCTTGCCGGCGCTGCCTTCTGCTATTGTATCATCTCTTTCTCTTGTCTGCGATGCGTGCGGTGGTGCTGGCAGTGATGGTCGTTTCTGATGCGCCGGTGATGTAGCCATAGGTGATGTTGGCTCTGCTGTCCTCTTCTGCTTTGGCTGTTGTTCGCTCGACTGTGCTGCGCTTTGTCTCTTGTTTTCTGCTGCTGCGCTTGTTGCTGCATCCTTCTGTGATGTAATTGTTTTGCTTGCTGATGGCATTGTTACTGGTAATGTGAGAGTCGGTGTAGGCAGTGCTGATGCTGGTGTCTTCCATGGACCTGTGTGTACACAGAGGCATTATCTGCCTTCTGCTTGTCCTTGCTCTGGCAATCTTGTTGTAGATCCCGATGAGGGATTCGCCTGTAGTTGTACCCTTGCCAAGCCAGACCCCGTTGTAGAACCTTGGCTCTAGTTTTGGAAATTGTTTTACTGTTGGTAGCATGTGTTGCACTGTCTCACCAAACTCGCACAATGGTGTATGCTGTTCTCTGTTCCATCTGTTGAAGTAGCTTGCGCATCCATTGCTGCGCAAAGCGTACCTGTTCATAGATGTATGCACTATGTCGGACGATCCAAGGCATGAGTGGATGTTTCATTGGAAGGTCTCTGTTGTAATTTTGCTTGACCTGTGCCTTGAGTGTTCTGATTTGTGCAAACAATGTTCTGTGTGCTCGTTCTACTGCCCCTTGTGATTGTGAACTGTATGCTCCTGAGTTCCGGGTTGTGATGTTGCCATTCTTGCTTGCTACTGTAGTAATGAGTGCTGTCAGGAAATCTTCCTGATCTGATTGTAGTATTGTGCGCGTTGTTCTTGCACACTCACTGAGGAAGTGCTGTAGCTGTGTGACTGCATAGTCGAAGAGCACCCTCTTGTCGGTCACTTGTATTGCCATGATCATCCCTGATTGGATGTCAATTGCTGTGAGGATTGGATGTACCTTGTTGTCATCGAAGCCTTTGATGTAGCCGAAGTCGAGCTGTATAATTGGAAGCTTGCTGCGCTGTTTTGGATGGTTGTTTTGTCTGCCTCTTGCTTGTACGCATATCGGACACCAACTCCTGTAAGGGAGGTGTGTGACATTGTGCTCCAAAATCTCCTGTGGTGTAGGTTGCTTGGGTGCCTGTACTGCTTTTGCTCTTGTGCCTTGTTGTTGTTCTTCATCATCTGACTCGAGCTGTGTTGGGAACTCCTGATGTTCCTCAAAGTTTGTCCAGCCTGTCCAAGGCTTGTCTGATGTCTTTGCTGGCTGTGTTGCCCATTCATCTTCTATCAACCTTGTGTGTTGTCTTTCTCCTCCAACTGGTTGTACCTTGGTCTGTCTCCAAGGTATGAGTCGTTTGATGTCTGGCCCGTCGTGTGTCTGCTCTGGTATGTAAAACGCTGTTCTAGGCTCAACATGTACTCTCTTCCAGTATGCCTTCTCTGTACCAGTAGTCTCCTCCATGATGTACTTCTGAAGGATGTGGAAGTCCTTGTCCAGCTGCGCCCTTAGTGGTGTGTGGCGCAGATGTGTCCTGAAATGTTGGTGGTGTTGTTTTCTCCCTCAGCCGTGTGCGCGGTCTGTACTGAATCACTTGTGGTGTCACCTTCTGTGGTGCACTTTTTGGCTGTGTCTTTGTTGCAAGCTGTTGCTGCATTGCCTCTGGCAATGTTGTGCCTTTTTTGATCCTGAATGTTGTTTCTCCTTTCCACATTTGCGGTTGTGCTCTGTTTGGCACTTCCCTTGTCTTCAAACGTGTTCGTTGTACCATCCTTGAGTCTGATGGTTGTTTTCCTGTAGTCCTCCAGTTGTTCTGCTGGGACTGGACACTGTGTTCTCGAAGGTGTGAAGAGTGTCTTTCTGTGTTGCCTGTGTACTCTTACAAGTTCACCTTGTGTATTCAACTGCCAGTAATCTCCTGCATAACCTGTGTCTGCAGGACCTTGTGGTGTCAAGGTTGTGGTCGGTGCTATCATGCCGATCTGTCCTTGGTCCGTGTTGTGTATCTGTAGCTTTGTTCCTTTTGGCAATGCTGTGATTTCTGCTTGTAGGAAGAACAGGCAATTTCTGCTCTCGAGTGTGCTGTTAAATCCTTTGATGTGATGTAGCTTTGGATTGTCACCCAATGTAAATTGGAAACCTTGTTCCACCAGCCCTGTAACTGAAAGAATCGGCTGTTTAACCTCACAAACATAAAATGGTATGACACGTTGTTGTCCGCTGTGGTTTGTCATGCAATCCCATCTGTACCCATAAAGCTCGATGTGCTGGTTGGTCACTGTTCTGAGTTGTGGCCCTGTTCCATGTTCAAGTTGGTGTAGTGGAAAGTGTGGTGCAAACCATGGTGGGCATACATGTGTAGCCGCACCGCTGTCAATCATAAGACTGACCCACTTGTTGTCTTCTGAGTGTTGTTGCGCTGCGCCAATCATGGCAACTGTTACTTCTTGTAATCCTGAGATGGGTACTGCTAATGGATCCGCCATTTGTGGCGGCTGTGGTAATGCTAGTTGTTGCATGTGTGTCTGATCCTGGTGGTACCAGTTGTTGTCATAGTGTGACTGACTGTACCAGTCATCTGTCTGGTCATTGGTGTCGAAGTTGCCAGTCTCGCAGTTGTAGATCGCCACTCTGCATTGTTTGGCCATGTGTCCTGGTTGTCAACATCTGTAGCAAACATTTGTTGCTTGCTTTCCTTTTGATCCTTTTCCTCCTTGTTGGTTGCTGTAGTATCCTTTTCCTTTTCCTTTGTTGTTGTTGTATCCTCGCCCTTTGGAATATCCTTGTTGTCCTTTGAAAGGATTTCCTTGTCCAACCGGTTGTTGATTGTACTTACCTTTTCCTCCTTTGTAGTTGTTGTAGCCGAAGTTGTTGCCGTAGCCGCCGTAGCCTTTGCCTTTGTTGTGTTTTCCTTTGCCTTTGCGCTTGCCCTTCTTTCCTTTTCCTTTGTTGTACCATGTTGCTCCTATGTCCATTGGTGCCGGTCCTTGATTGTTGCTGCTGCCTGATGTGATTGACTGTAGTCTGGTGAATGACGCTGTTGCTCTGTAGTACTCGATCACCATCGATCTGATCTGTGCGTATGTTGTGATGTTTCCTGCTTGTAGCTGTAAATGCTGCTGTAGTGGTCCTTTTGTTTCATTGAGTAGCACTGCGATTTTAACTGCATCTGGTAGTAGTGTATTGTTGTCTTGTTCGTACCTTGAGAGTTGGAACTCCCATGTTGTAAAGCTCTCTTCGAACTTCTGTTCATCGAGTTGTGGTTTGAGCAGCTTTGTAAGGTATCCAATGCTCCTTGTACCAAGAGGTATGGAGCGCCTTGCATGTATAAGCCGCCATGTTTCGAATCCGTTGCCTTGCATGTTTTGTCTGCAGATTGTAGATGCTGGTCCATCGCACGCGCTCACTAGGATGTAGTGCAAGTTGTTGCTCAGTTGTATCCATTGCTCTGCAACTTGTTGTGAAGGTGCTGCGTTCTCAAGTTGGTCATTTGTAACTGATCCTGTTGATTGCTCTGACTGTCTAAGCAGTCTGTTGTAGTCTGGATCTTGTAGCCCCAGGTATGCTATCATCTTGTACTTCCATTCGTCGAAGGTGTTGTATTCGCCATTGAAGCGTGGTGGTGATATCTTGTATTTGTGGATTCCTTCCAGCTGCTGCTGTTGTGGTTGCTGATCTTGTTGTTGTTGTGCCATGTTAGTCACTACTATGTACCTCAACCTGTGAGTGCGTGTTGGAGCTCACCCTGGGTTGTGTAGTAGGATCGTGTACCAGGGACCACTGCTCCGCTACCATGTTAAAGTTGGATTGACAGTGTAAACACCTGATGACCTGTGTGTGACAGCACGGCACTTGTTGTACTCGGGCGCAAGCAGTGTCTCTAATGTATACAGGCTCAAGGCCTTGATCATGTAAAGGTGCAAGGGAATGTACAAGGGTGGATGTATCTTAACAGTGTGAAGCAAATTTCAGGTGCTGATTGCCGGCTGTTGACGGCGATCTGCCTGCTCCCAGAAGCTGCAAATGGTGCGCTTGACATTGCCAGGTCCTCTGTGGCTCGGTCAAATGTCACCGAGCCAAGAGGCAAAAGCAGTCCTGGCGAGGCTACGGCTCCGCCAAATCCTCCAAATGCACGAGGCACGCCTCCTTGCAGAGCAAAGAATGCTACTGGGCTACTGGTAACCTCGGAAACGGATCGAAATGCCTGGCAATCCGCTTGCCGCAACACGCCATTTGTCATTCGCAGTAGCGTGCAGATTGATGCACGCGGAACAGTTCAAACAGCATCAGTCCTTGCGGCATCAGGGTCGGTGCGCGGGTCGCCCGCTCTACCAGACCTGCCAAACTCCCTTCTGAAGAAATGGCGCGTGCAGTCCACTTCTGTCCTTGCCACAGCCCGCTGTTGTCTGCACTTGGTGCCTGCTATCGTGATGCATACCAGCACGTGCACACTCACACGGACACATGCACTCCCGACTGCATTGATACCAATTGTGGATGGCTCACTTTCCCCCAAGTCACTGTCAGCCTGCAGGTCAGATCTGCCATGGGCAAAGGTGCATGCCGCACCCTTTGTGCAGGCGCCCTGCGCATGGTCAACAGAATGCAGGTGTCAATGGCCCTGGCAACTGACAGCTCAACGTGACAAATGGAGGAAGTCGGAAAATCCGCCGACCATGGTCGAGCACGTAGATGGCGGTATTGTTCCAGGTCTTCCTCTGGTTTCTCATTTGAAGCTCCAAGCTTTTGGTGCATCTGGAAAGCTTTCGAGTTCATAGATGTGCTGTTACACGTAGGTGCGCGAAGACATCCGCAGCGGTCCACACTGGCATGATGTTGCACTGTGACGGCACACAGTTTGCACCCTGGCATCCCCAGGCTTGTTTTTCTGTTGGATCTGGCGTCTACTGGTCTTGAGGTGACTTTGGCTGGCTTTCACATCATGAGATGTGGCCTTGCAAGCTCATGCATGGCCAGGTTATTGGGAGGTACTCATTAGGCCTGCTCTCTGCTGCATCTTTATCAAGGCTCTGGACTCGTACTATTTTGAGATCTTTATCAAGGCTTGCTCTGAGCTATCTCCGTCCAAACGTCTAAGACGCTGCGTGGTGTTTACCTTCTCAGCAGTGTTTGTCTTGTCGCGCACCCGCTTTCTCTTTGATAGTTGGACACGCAGTCGGGATTAGCAACACACCCGCTCTTGCCAACATTGTGACCTCCTACTTGCATACCCTAAATGGACAACTCACAGAATCAGTGGTTTGTAATTGTGAAGGGGTGTACAAGGGTTGTACAGCAATGATCTGGGGTGCACAATCACCCCAAAGACAATCCTTTTATACGGCGGAAGGTGAAGTAAGTCGCTGTTTGTTACCCGTGAAGCATCGCAGGTGCCTGCTGCCAGAACTTGCAAATCGTCTTCTTGGCGTTCGGACCTGCAGATCACAGCACCTGCGCTCCATACCGGTCCCATGCTGAGCCATTGGCCCATGTCTAGAGGGTTGGGCAAAGCCACAAAGGCATTGCTCGTGACAATAGGCTGGCCGAGCTCTGCTTGACCTGGCAGCTCGGACCCATTGCTGTGCCCTGCAAGTATGCAAGCTAGACACTAGGCCTCTGTTTTCTCTGCACAGGTCTCTGGGAAACCTGCCTGAACCCCTGAACCAACAAGGAAGCTCGAGCAACGCAACTGGGAGCTTTGCCCATACGATATCCACGGATGTCCGCTCGTGCAGACAGCCCGGCTGACGGCACGAGATTGCTCACGTCCCTTGACCCAGTGCAAAGGTCACCCCGTTCTGAGCACTGCTAGCAAGACCCAGTCAAATGATAGGATTGCGCTCAGGCTCTTTGAAGCGATTCACCAGCTTCCTGGCATGACATGGCAACAAGACTGTGACGTTCACAAGCTAAGGTCGGTCCTGGGCTTGGCCTTGACCCGCGGGCAGGTCCGTGGCACTTTCTCCATGACAAACACAACGCCTCGCTCGTGACATGGCCACCCAAATAGACGCAAGAGATCACTGACCTCCCCGAATCTCCTATGATCTCCAATGACCCGCCCACTTTCGTCTTGCCTGACCGAGCTCGGATGTTCATTGAGACCTCTCCGACAGCAGGCCTGTTGCAATGAAAAAGCTTGATTGCTCTCTCATGCAGGAGCGCGCACACTGATTGCTTGATGGCCAAATTGAAAATTCGCGGAAATGGTCGTGCTGGAATTATCTGTCGATCTATCTGTCTAGCTACCAATCTAGTCAATTTTACTATGTCTGTATATCTAAATCTATTCATCTAGCTATCATCTAGCTATCTAGCTATCTGGCCATCTAGCTATCGATTTATCTATCCGTCTATCCAATTATACGTATTTGTGTTCTGAAAGCGCAGCGCCTGCCAGGATATCAAAGCGCTGTGCCTGTCATCAAATCCGCAACATACGCCGAGCGCAGATCCCGTTCGGAACACGCGAAACACGCACAGGGCGCTCACTTTCAGCGCTTTCTATCCCCGAGCGCTGCGCCTGTCACGCTGTCTGAACACTTGTCACCTCGTCTCCTTGCCTCTCTTTGTTTCTTCTCTTCTCATCTTTCGCTCTCTGCCTTTTCATGACAAACCTTCGCTTCAGAAAGCTATTTGCATACGCTATCCTTTCGCATGCGCTATCTGATCCCCGGAAAGCTATCAAATCTGCGCAAGTAGCCTTTCAATTCCTGCACGGAGACTTCTTCTAAACTTGCTTTGATGATAGGCCGCTGCTCACACGCTTCTTTCTGAGGCGATCATTCCCAGTTTGATTGATTGTGCAAAGAAGGCGCAGCAACTGCCTTGAGGTTGGCTGTTTGATCCCAAGAATGCAGGACCTCCTTCTCCAGGATCAAAGTCCGATTTACCCTCGGGTTAACGGTTTTTTGGCAATACACCTGCTCGAGCTTCTGTTTCCCAGCATAGTGCAGCCTTCGATGCTTGCAACGTGACCAAAGCTCTATAGTGTTGCGCAGTCAGCAATGCCCTGCAGTGGCGGCGAATCATCCTGATAATGCGACTCTGTTGTCGTGTCGCTTGACCACCCAAGTTCTGACAGGCAGGTAGTGCAGATCAAACCTTGAACAATCCCTTGCAATGGCCCTCGTTGGCCACAAGAAGGCATACCGTACACTGAGGGATGACAGAAGGAGCCTAGAGCAACTTCAGAGAGTGGCTGTGATGATTCTGGTCAATGTGACATTCAATGTGCTTGCAGGAGTCAATTCAGTCTGACGCTCAAGTCGCTTAGAGGCTTAGACTCATAGAAGCTGGCAAGAGCGATTTTGGTGATAAACACAGGTCCGCAAGCTGCTGGAAAGCCCGCGGAAACAATATTGACACCATGGACCTGCGAATTTGAGCGAGATGCAAAGCAACCAAGGCAGGCCAGCCAACAAGTGTAGTCAATTGCATCAGCTTTCACCGTTGGCAACTAGCGGCCTCACTGGCAGTGATTGGAGCCGAACTGCGAACTCCGAGTCGCTCCTGGGCCGAACGCAGCGCGTGCGCTTCAGCTTCGGCTTGGAGTGAACAGCGCAAGGCCCACACCCAGCCAGCGGGAAGAGCTCCACCAAGCGCCTGGCCAGCATGGGATGTTTGGGAGCCGCGGGATGTATCGCACCTTTTGGGGTACCGAGCAACCTGAAGCAGGGAACAAGAGAGCCTAGCCGCTCGCAGAAAACCGAGCCCCGGACGGTCTCAGGGTCTGGGTCCTCCATGTTCACCAAGAAGCGACGGACGATGGCTTCCTGACTCCAATTGAAACTCTGAGCTCCCACCTTGCCCAATCTGGCCGTCCTCGGGCTGCTTGAAGACAGTGACAACACACCGGCCACCATAGGCGAGCACGCGGAATGCACTCTCAAGGCCTACACATTTGAGTGTCCGAAGCCTTGACCCTGAATTCCTGGCCTACTCGCAGCTGCTCCAACTCCGAGTTGAGGAAAAGGCGAATGGCCTGAAGCCGGGCTTTGCAAAAGAGGGTGAAGCGAAGCGTTCCATTCGGCCTGGACGGTCAATCTGGCTGGGTGTGCTCTGCCTGGAGCTCCCAGGGGCGCTTTCAGGCAATGCAAGCCATAGAAATTGAAGAAATTGAAGATATTGAAAAAAATTGAAGATATTGAAGCCTTGAATAAGAAGATATTGATTCAAGGCCAGTTTACGGCCTGACGGAGGATGCTCAAAGCTCTCATCGCCAATCTCGGAACGGGGACAGGCCGGCTGTCTCCGAGGAACTCGCTTCAGCACCAGGAGCACGGCGCATCTTGCACGTCCGACGATCTCAGCCAAGCGGTTCATGGACTCAATGGGCCCATCTGGCAAGACAGCAAGGTGAAGGCAGCATATAAACTCTGCAAGCCTTGCCATTCCCGGAGCTTACACAATCCAACATCGCCGCTTGCTGTGCAAGCGATTAAACCTCCTTCAATGGGCGTCGGCCAGGCTTTCTTGCAGATCGTCGTAGATGACCTGCAGGCCCACATATGGCCAAGTTTGGAGCGACAAACCACCGAAATCTTCTTCAGCTGTGATGCCGCAACACAACACACCAGTGCTATTCCACTTGCACAGTGTTTTGCAAGTCCTTCAACCCATCAAATCAACTTGCCGTCACCTGGTGTTGCTGCAGTTGTGAGCATTGCCTTGTTGCCAATGCTGCCCATTTTACCTGTGTTACTGCGATTGCACGAGAGGGTTGCCCTGTGTCCTCAAAACCACCAGTTTGTCTGAGACCCCAGCCATGCAATCCCAAGATGAATACTGAGATTTAAAAAAAGAAGAAGAAAAAGTTGCGTGCCCATTCACAAGTACTCCCAGACTCCTGCCTGGGCCATTCTCTCAGCTTGCACAGGTTCCTAGCAAGTTCAAGGTCTCTACTCTATTTCTCTCCCACTCTGCCCGGATATCGCAGAATCATGTCTCTTGCTCGCAGGATACACACGTCAGCCTCTCCCTCGGCAAGTGAATGGTTGTAAATAGTTTGGCTGACTTGAAGCTTGGGATGTATGTGAGAGTCCCTGTCGTCAAGCTCAAGCATCTTTCGAAGGAACAGGTGCAAACTCAAGGCTGCAAAGAAATAGTTTGAGGACTTTGGGGGCAAGAAGCATTTCCAAAAGCCTTCCTATCACACAAACCTCGGACCGAGAGAAGCGCCTGATTGGTTGCACCATATTCGCGGAGGACCCAAGCCAGCTCTTCCACGGTTGCCGCCTGCAGCTTGCAAGCCATGCCACATGCTCGACAGCTGCTCGACAGCCAGCTGCTCCATAGCTGCTCGATATCTGACATCAAAGTGCAGAATGTGCCTGCAGCCACTCCGCCGCTGACTTGCCGACGCTTTGATTCATTCTCAGATCCAGCGGGCTGTCCTGCACGCGAAAAGATACCCCGGCTGTTTGATGGCTTCGGTCTGCCGAGAGCGGCCAAGGCATGAGCAAAGGACAACTCAACTCAAAAGGACACCTGGACAATTAGTGGTCTCTTCTCGGCGTCAGCGTTTCTTGATGTTGTGCTGAGCAGCTTCTCAGCTTAGCAAGATCCTGGCTTGGGACCTGTCAGTTCCAACGTCTCCCAGACCGCAGCTTTTCAGTGCGAAAGAAAGGGCAGCCACTTGTACATAGCGATAGGGGAAGCAAGCAGAAGTGGTCGCAGGCGCAGCAGCTGGCCCATTCACACGCATCAAGTTCCCTGGCCTGTTTGACCAATGCAGCACATAAAGCACATCATGAATACTATGAATACTGTCACACATGTCTCCGCTCGCGCTCTGGCACGTGATCGAACAATGTGTTCACGCTGGCACGAATACTGTGTTTTGGCGCAGGTGAAGCGGCAAGTAGCTGGCCTTTTTTGACGCGATTTCAATATAATATTATAATATGTATTCCGCCGCGACGCCTGTGTTTCGCTGTTTCGCCTCCTAGCTGGAAAAGAACTAAGTGCAAAGTGCGCAAATCCTGTGTTTGACCGAGAATCCAGTGAAGTTCGACATTTCAGTGAAAATTGAAAGCGCTCACATTGGCCGGAACACCGCGGCCAGTCAAGCAAAACTCAAAATGGCGAATGGCTCTGTTTGTAGCAAAGCAGAAGCTAAAGCTTGTGCAGGCCTCTCACGGCCTTTGTCCGATAAGTTCCCATTGCACGCGACACCGGTCCGGGCGCTGCTGCAAGTTCTGCAGGCTGAAGCCCCGAGCGCGATTGTCCATCCTGAATCCAGCCGAATATCTGCCCTGAGCCTTGCAATTGAAAACTGCACAATGATGAGCATTCGAAAGGCAGAATATGGAAATGTTCAAGAGACAGGATGCTTTGTGCACCAGACACAACAGCAAAGAGCAATCTTGGTACTATCTTGTGACCGACTGAGTCATCAGCCGCGGTTGACTTTGCGAAGGAAAGGATGGAAGCAAGGTGAGAAAGGCAGAGGAGGGAGCGGAGGGAAGGATGAAGCAGGGAGGGAGGGGAGGGGGAAGGAGGGAGGGAGGGAGGGAGGGAGGGAGGGAGGGAGGGAGGGGAGGGGGGAGGGAGGGAGGAGGGAGGGAGGGAGAGAGGGAGAGAGGAGGGGAGGGGGGAGGGCAACAAGGAAGGAAGGAAGGAAGAAAGAAAGAAACAAACAACAAAGAGTGGATTCACCAGCTGCTATTCCTGCTCCCAATACATCCAGTCTGCGCAATGATTTGGATGGGATCCTTTTCCGTCTTTAAACGCTGGTGGCAAGGAAGAGTCGGCATCTCTGGCTCTCTAGGTAGTGCGCTGAACACTGCAGACTCCAACGTCGAACCTTGGAGGCCGCGCCAAGAGACAACGACAAACTTTGCGAAAATGTATCGTGGTCAAACAGTCAAGCCCCTGTGGCAAGGTCCAAAGACGCATCCGACCAATCCCTCACACTGCAAGCGAAACACACATCAGCTGCGGGGCGAGGAGTCCAAGCAGCCGACACGATGCCAGATGGCGGGCCAAGCTCCAGTATCCTTGACACCTTCGTGGTTCATTGTTTCCCACGCACTGCTTTCCCATGCTCATTTCGGCCTCTTCATTCTCCTCCGGACTCTCAAAGATGCTGACCAAGTCCTCAAATTGTCAGATGTTTGCTCCAGACCGTGCATCTGAACTGGCAATTGCCTCCTGAAGTCGAATCAGAATCTTTAAGCACGAAAACCAAGCATCAGGCTGAGAAAGCGCGCGGAAGAAAGCAGAACCTGTCGGGCAACATGCGAGTGACCTGTTCTGCCTGACAAGGCTTCAATGCGCGCCTTTCGTCCTCATTTTCCAACAAACGGCCTTGCGCATCTTGCAACAACTTCTCTAGAAAGAGTCATACGAGCAGCTTTGCCTGCTCCTAGACAGTTGGAGTCGATGTCAAGGGCGAGCAGCCGCCCATCCTGGCAGAATGTGATCTAGACGCTCCAAGGAGGAAGCTCGAGCCTCGCTGAGACGAGACAGAATCTCTCTGCTGTATCCGCCACGTCCAAACGTGCAGTCCTCAAGCTCACGGTGCTAACGGATGCACTTAATCTGTCACGATGGTAACAAGCCAGGTGCCAGGCCACATATAAGCCGTTGTACACGCCCTTCCCTAATCGGATGCCTCAAACATAGCCGGTCTAAGCATGACCGGCAAAGTAGGCCCAACGTCAATGCAAGTGAAACGGCGGGCCGGTGTGGAGAAGGATGGAATTGTGACAACAGTGGCTGTGATGGTGGAAAATGTCTTAACGTTTGTCAGGCATGCACCCAAATAGCTGGTGGTCTATCGTTTGTCCCTATTTATTGTACTTGACAAAGAGTGGTGCGTTTGAGACCAGTGAAGCAAGGCGGAGATTACAGCTATTACTGGCGGAGGTCTGACCATGTTGGCAGTCCGATCTTGGCAAGGCCTGGTGTGAGTCGCATGGCAAGCCGTTCGTTAATTCGTTAAGCCCAATGAGTCAGACGATTCGTTTGAGGCCCTTGGGCACGCTGGGCGAGCGCCTGCGGCCTAGGAGCCGACCTCGTCCTCCGCGTTGGCCAGGCAGCTGGGAGGGAACAGCGCCTGCAGGACTGGCAGCAGCAGCACAGGCTCGTGGCCAGCAGCACCTCGCTCACGTCAGCAAACCGCAAGCAGAAATATCCAAACTGAACCTGGAAGACATGCACAGAATGGATGGCTCAGAATGTCATGCACAAGGAGAACTAGGATGCCTGCGACCCACGCTGACTGCTCGCTGGTGTTGCTCTCGGGACTCCTCTTGCAACCCGGCGAGAGAATTGAAGTAAGGCACACCTTTGGACAGTTTTGCGCAACATGCGCGACACGTCCAACGCTTTCCGCTTTGAGCATGCTGAGTTTGACCCTACAATGTGGGATCAAATTGCACATCTGGATCCTCGACGCTACGTTGCAAATCATCCATGAAGTCATCCTCGAAGTCCTTGCGAAGCCAATGAATGCCACTCCTCAGTGATTTCTCTACTGCCTCCGCTTCGAAATCCTCGGAGGCCTGATCGGATTTGGCCGAAGTTGTGGTTTCAGTTCGTCACTGCAACATACTCCAAGTATCTCCAAGTGGGCGCGGCCTCTGTGAGAATTGACAGCACAGAGCTTCCTTGCAAGATGGACTTCCACAGAACGCAAATCAAAGCGCCCGCCTTGGGAAGCCAGCAACTGCCTGCTTCGCTCACCATGCGAAGCTCGGCCTCGCAACGCTTTCACGGCATGCCGAACATGCCGAACATGCAAGATGCGCCACGCCTCTCTTGCCAATCAAAACTCTCCAATCGCACCGACGCCGCCTGCAAAGTGGACAGTCCGACACGGCCACTCCAAAGTCCAAGGTCAAGAATCGAGTTTTCCGACAGGGCTAGCGCGCTGGCGCAGAGCACAGTGACAAGCGGCGGCAGCCGGTTGTTGCTCGTGTGAAAACAATGTAAACACCTGAGCGTGCGCTCAGCTCAAGACACATCAATCACGATTCATTAATTTCGGCGTAATTCGCATACGCAGTTGGTTCATCCTATGTTCTCCTTCGGCAAAAGTATTTAGCCGAACACCAAGCCTGAAGGAAGCAAAAGAATTGACGTCCCAAAACCCTCGTGCGCCCCAACCGTCTCACGTTTATGCATGGTTTGAAATTATTGTTTGTATATGTTTAACAATCTGAAACGTTCATGGCTAGCGAATCATCAGTGCAAGGCTAAAGAACAGCCTGCGCATGGCCAAATCGACGCTTGCACATGGCTAAAAATAATTCTCGTTTGGGTTGGGAAAGCGTGGCTTGTTTAGTGTGTGGACCTGGTTGGCTCGGGGTTGGTTGAGGCTGGGTTTAGGGTGGATTTAGGATTGGTTCACGGTGGGTTCACGGTTGGTTGAAGGATGGTTTACAGCTGTTTAGGGTACTAGTAGGTTTGATCTAAGGTGTTATATATTGGTTTGGGGCTTGGGGTTGGCTTAGGCTGGGTATATAATCGGTCTACGCTGGGTTGAGTGTTGGCTTAGGGTTGGTGCCGGTTCTCGGTACTCGTGCGCCGAAACTAATCATTCATGAGTGATGTGTCTTGAGCTGAGCGCACGCTCAGGTGTTTGCATTGTTTTCACACGAGCAACAACCGGCTGCCGGGCGTGGCGTGGCCAACCCCTGCTTGCCACTTGTCACGGTGCCAGGGCCAACCCCGCGCGCCGCACAGTCGCTAGCAGTGCCATGTTCAATAGCAGCGTGACATCTGAGCTTCTTGCCTTGTCACATGTCGGCTTCCTGCCAAGGACACCTAAGAGTCTGACGTAGACATATTGCCCAACGAATTTCGCATCGTTGGAACTTGTCAAAAGGGACGCAGTTTGCGCTCTTCCCAGATCTGAGTCCCCATCGAGCAGAAGAGCACCACAACAACCTGTCCAAAATGCAAAAGATGGAAACAAAGAAAAAGCATGCGCTCGCTCAGTCTGTATTGCCTGAGCGGCCATGCCAATGCTCACCGGCTCTGCCTGAACTTGCCAGCTTGGCACGAAGGCGATCAGGGCCAAACAGCGTGCCTGGGGATGCTGGGAACGGCGTTGTCTTGGCCTCGACACATCTGAAAGAACGGTGTCCCACTTCGCACCTCTCACTGCGAGCAAAATCTCAAAGCAAAGGTTGTCTAAATCGGCGTGCCGGGCCTGGGGTTGGAAGACACTGCCAAAAGCTATCTCCATTTCGGGTGTGGAGCGGAAGAGACATTCAGCCGGGTCAGAAACTGTTTTCAGTATTGCAGTCTGCCTGCACTATGTCTCCAAAGCTCATCAAAGAAATGTGTGCTGCGCAGCTGCGACCAATCATGATTGGCCCAACTCTTCTTATAGTGCAAGTCTACCGCCTCTCTCAGGTGAACCGGAAAGCGGTGAAATGATGCCTTTTCATGTCAGGCTATCATGCTTGGACCGGAAAATGCACGATGCCACAAGCTTGCTTTGTGCCTTTTACATGCAAGGCGCAAGAGCACACAACCTTGCAATCTTGCCAGGAAGGCCGTGGGCCCAAGTGCAAAACTCCCCATTCTTACACTTGCCCTCCTGGGAAGCTGTCTGACTTCAGCGCGCCCTCTGGACCCCCTGTGCGACCAGAACATCTGACTTCTGCTCTCCTCCCAGAACTTGCAGATGGTGCGCTTGACACCCTCCTGCACTTGGCTCGGACATGAGCCGCTTCGAAGCGCAAAGGCTTGCGGACTCCGCTCGTCGCATGTGGTCTCTCCGCTCCTCGACGAAGCCTTGATGTGCCTTGCAAAGTGAGACAACACAAACACCGCATACCAAGAATCGTACTCGGGAGTCGGACAAAAATGGCAACCAACAAAGCTTGATAGAAGACCTAAGGAAATAACCTCCAGGATGCATCCTTTTTGCTGTGCTACCCTGAAACAAAACCCCGAGCAACTCGAGTCAAACTCTCCAGCAGCACGATGCAAAGGCATCACACTGTGCCTCAGCCCCTCCAACACCACCCTGCTCAAAACCATCCCTCAACACTACTCTGAACAGCACCGCACGCCCTGTGCAGCACCCTGCAACGTTGTGATACACTCCCCTTTTCCTTTGAAAAGCTAGAACCGCCATGGCTCTCAGCTATGAAACATATTCTTGTCAAGCTGGCTGACGTTCAGACAAGCTTTGCGTCAAAGCAAAACCACTTCCCGTGTCAAGTTGCATGCAAATTGTCAAGTGTGCTCATTTTATGGCTCACAGGCTCACAGGCATAGCGATCTTCTGCAAGATAGTCCAACCACCAAATCTTTCTTTGAAAGAATCGCCAAGGCAACGTTGGCCGGCGGAGTGGGAACCTACAAATTACATCTGGAGTCTCTAAGACTCAAAGACAAGCCCAGCTATTGAAAGCGGCATTGCTCACAAACCACTTGCCTCTCTGCTCTACAGGTGAGGAAGGTGTGCATCATGCTACCCTACAACAGAAGCTGTCTTAGCGATAAATTGTTTTCAGTGTCACATGCCAGGCCTCATTCTGCGCTTCCGAGCAAAGGCTGCCGCCCTTGCCGACCTATGGGCAAAGCACACAGGCACACAGGCCTGTGAAATCTTGTGGAATTCATCGCTCGGCGCCGCGCGGATGCGCAGAAGCCCGAGGGCAGCAAGTCCAAGGCCCATGGCCCCGGCCTCGGAGTCACGAATTCAGACCCGATGCGGCTCGGGGAAGCCCGGCTCGGGGCAAGCCCGGCTCGGGGCAAAGCCCGGCTCGGGGCAAAGCCCGGCTCGGGGAAGCCCGGCAACTCAGTAACTCGGAGCCCGGCAAAAAGAGCCAGGGTGATGGCGCCACCGGCTGACAAGAAGGTCTGCACCTGAGAGGCGAATGATGGCGAATGCCAACGGCACGGACACCACGCCTCCGGGCTGAGTTCCGCATATTTCTGCTCAGGGATGATGCCGCTCGGGCACATAAAAGTCAGCTTGTACTGACCTGGAGGTCACAAAACCACACCCTAAACTTCGTGCAGCTGCACCGGTCTGCGGCAGTCGGCAGTTGCAAACTCTTGGGATGTCACCATAGCTGCAACGCATCAAGCCCTGACCTGGACGCTCTCAAACACAACGTGCGCACATCGTGACGTCGTGACGCTTTCCAATGGCATGTCCGCGCCGTCATCGTATGCAAACGCATAGACTCCAGGGCAATGCTGATGTACTGCCTGGCTGGGCCACACATACACCATGTCACCATGTGTGCTCCATACATCAATTCAGTTTGGCTGGTGCAGGGAGGGACCCACGCTGAGAACGTCTGTGTACTTCTAACAGCCAGATTGCATTGGGTCTGACACAAACTCTGACGCTTTGCAGAAACAAAGCGAATCCGCAAGCTAAAGGCAGCTTGGCCACGCCTGGACGTACTTGGTTCTTGGGAGCGGCCCGGCGTTGCAGGACTGTGACGTTTCTGGTGGCGTGGTGCAGCCTGTGCCCAGTCTTGCTAATACCCAGGAATCCACATTTTTGCCATAGTGTTTAGTCTCTGAGGCGTAGGCAGTACTTCGTCACGTCCGCATCGTTTCGAGACTTGCCCCTTGCCTGTGATTGCGTGTACATGTCTGGCTCCAATGGCAAGCTCTGCCAGCTCCGAGACAGGCGCGCCGAAGTTGTTCCACTTCGGGTCAATCATTTTCAGGCAGGGAGCGTAGCAACCTAAAAACACGCCGACTTCGGGGGCAGTTCCTTGTCAAGCATCAAGAGGACATGTTCCTTGTCACATTTACGGGAGTGCAAAAAGCTGTGGGATCCCAACCCACTGCTTTGTTGATCTTGGGGCTCACCGCCTGCGCTCACCGCGAACGGGGAAACGAAAGGGTCAGACGTGGCAATGGCCGTCACTGGCCTGCATGTTCACGGGGCCATGGCCCAGGTCATCATCCACAGGGCACTGGTCCACCGACAGGCCAGAGCAGTCTATCTCGTGGACCTGCGACTCCTGGCAAACGGAAAACTTCCGCTCTCTCTCTCTCTCTCTCAAGCTGCTCAAACAAGGACAAAGGACATGCCAGCAGCGCGCGGCCAGTGCAAACGCCAGCCACAACCTCCAGCTTGAAGGGCAGGGTGAAGCCGTCTACTAAGCCTCAGCTAAGCCCACAAGCGGCAAGCTGTTTGCTTGGGAGGGCTAAGGTAGATGCTGACGTCGATGAAGTCACAGCCACCCATCTCCCCAGGATTGGCTGGGTTGCATGGCTGCCCCTACCAGATTGAGAAACTGTCAGTTTCTCTGGACCTGAGACCAAACTGGCCAAACATCTCGGCCTGGCGTCCCCAGGTTGCCTTGTGGCACACGGAGAGTGACTAGACGCGGGAATTGGCACGGCTCCCAACATATGGCTTGCACCTCGAATTTGGTGTCGACGGGCGGGGCACACTTGGAGTAGTCCGGGTTCAGCCGATTCTAAGTGGCAAGTCGCCATGAGCTTGCAAGGGGCACAAAATGGCACAAGTGACAAAAACATGAAGCGCGCATTCAAGACATTGCCCTAGCTGGGGGCCTCGCACATTCCTGTCCGGGCCCTCCACTTCCACCAAGGGCACAATTGTTCCTGTCTCTCCAACACAAAAGACTTGAATGGAGCCTACATTCTCATGTACAGTCACCTGCGTGCACGTCTTGGACACTGCATCAGTCGTTGAGCCCCGCTCCCCGCAGCGTCACAGCCCATCTTCGGCCAGTAGCGAGCACCTGCTAGGCCGTCTGTCTCCTTCTCATCGAAGGTCAAACTGCCTGCACGAAAGTAGCCGATCAGCCGTTTACCCCCACTGCACGCTTTGCCAAAGCCTCCCGGCTCAATTCCATAGTTCTGTGGGCCAGGCCTCACGAAGAATGGACCGAAAATAGAAGGGACTGCGGCGGGTCAAAAAATGTCTCAAAAATGGCGAAGCATGTGCAACTGACTTTCAGCGCTGGAGCTGGTTTTCAAAGGCGGCCGGCATACAAATATTGTTGTTTCTTCATGACTTGTGTGTGTGTGTGCGTGAGTGTACGTGTGGTCGCAAAGACATTCGACGCAAATTGCGCCCGGAGACATGCTTGACCGGGCCGTTCCTCTTTAGTTCCCCACATCTTTGTGTGGGGTTCTTACTTTTTCCGCTCGTCGTCCGCGCGCCGCGTCTCCTCCTCCTCCCGCTCGTCTCCGTCTCACTCACTCACTCACTCACTCACTCACTCACTCACTCACTCACTCACTCACTCACTCACTCACTCACTCACTCACTCACTCACTCAACTCACTCACTCACTCACTCACTCACTCACACTCAGTCACTCACACTCACTCACACTCACTCACACTCACTCACTCACACTCAGTCACTCTCACTCACTCACTCACTCACTCACTCACACTCACTCACACTCACTCACTCACTCACTCACGCTCACTCACACTCACTCACTCACACTCACTCTCATTCACTCACTCTCATTCACTCACTCACTCACTCACTCGCTCACTCACTCACTCACACTCGCTGACTCACGGCAGCTGTCTAGAGGGACAGGATGTTGTCGCGCGCGCGGCGGGGGGCGTGCGAAATCGTGGCAGGCGCAGCACTTTGGCGATGCCGTTGCGAAATCGTGGCAGGCGCAGCACTTTGGCGATGCCGTTGCCGAAGTCGTGGCAGGCGCAGCATTCTGTGCATCTGGGTGTGTGTTTGTGTGGCAGGGGTCGCATTCGGCAGCTGTCTAGAGGGACAGGATGTTGTCGCGCGCGCGGCGGGGGGCGTGCGAAATCGTGGCAGGCGCAGCACTTTGGCGATGCCGTTGCGAAATCGTGGCAGGCGCAGCACTTTGGCGATGCCGTTGCCGAAGTCGTGGCAGGCGCAGCATTCTGTGCATCTGGGTGTGTGTTTGTGTGGCAGGGGTCGCATTCGGCAGCTGTCTAGAGGGACAGGATGTTGTCGCGCGCGCGGCGGGGGGCGTGCGAAATCGTGGCAGGCGCAGCACTTTGGCGATGCCGTTGCGAAATCGTGGCAGGCGCAGCACTTTGGCGATGCCGTTGCCGAAGTCGTGGCAGGCGCAGCATTCTGTGCATCTGGGTGTGTGTTTGTGTGGCAGGGGTCGCATTCGGCAGCTGTCTAGAGGGACAGGATGTTGTCGCGCGCGCGGCGGGGGGCGTGCGAAATCGTGGCAGGCGCAGCACTTTGGCGATGCCGTTGCGAAATCGTGGCAGGCGCAGCACTTTGGCGATGCCGTTGCCGAAGTCGTGGCAGGCGCAGCATTCTGTGCATCTGGGTGTGTGTTTGTGTGGCAGGGGTCGCATTCGGCAGCTGTCTAGAGGGACAGGATGTTGTCGCGCGCGCGGCGGGGGGCGTGCGAAATCGTGGCAGGCGCAGCACTTTGGCGATGCCGTTGCGAAATCGTGGCAGGCGCAGCACTTTGGCGATGCCGTTGCCGAAGTCGTGGCAGGCGCAGCATTCTGTGCATCTGGGTGTGTGTTTGTGTGGCAGGGGTCGCATTCGGCAGCTGTCTAGAGGGACAGGATGTTGTCGCGCGCGCGGCGGGGGGCGTGCGAAATCGTGGCAGGCGCAGCACTTTGGCGATGCCGTTGCGAAATCGTGGCAGGCGCAGCACTTTGGCGATGCCGTTGCCGAAGTCGTGGCAGGCGCAGCATTCTGTGCATCTGGGTGTGTGTTTGTGTGGCAGGGGTCGCATTCGGCAGCTGTCTAGAGGGACAGGATGTTGTCGCGCGCGCGGCGGGGGGCGTGCGAAATCGTGGCAGGCGCAGCACTTTGGCGAT